AAGTAATAAGCATCCATGTAGTATATAACTGTACAAATAATACATTTCTATAATGTTGCACAAAATAAATGCTGGGGTATGTGTATAAGATATGTATTAAAAGTAATTTAAATATATATGGTTTTCTATATTATATGAAATCATTAAGTGGAAAATTATCACCGCTTAAGGTACCTACATTTTATTTTGTTTTTGCTAATATGTGATGAGTACAACTATATAATAGTATGCTTTTTTTTATTAATACCATGGAATTTAAATATGAATTTGTTTCATCTTTGAAATAAATACGGTTTTTCATGTAATGCTTTTAAGAATTCTTAATATGATATTCTAGACCAGGGGTCTCCAAACTACGGCCCGCGGGCCGGATATGGCCCGCGAACAAGTTTTAACCGGCCCGTGGCCCGCATAGGACGCATAGGTAAATATCGATAAAAAAATATTTCAAAAATGTATTTATATTATATTATATTTATACCTATTTATTTTTATTTAAGTATACTGTAAAGTAAACAATATTTTATACAAAAATATAAAGTAAACATATTATTTATATAAGTAGGTACCTAATACATTATCATACAATTAAAAATTATATGTGTTAATAAACTTTTGGCCCGCTAAGAGCATTTGATTTTTTTTGTGGCCCTTGAATAAAAAGGTTTGGAGACCCCTGTTCTAGACTTTAAGATGTATTAGAATTGTGTGATAAATATGTGTAAATAGTACATGGGTTTATCTACTGAAAATGAAGCAATCAAAAAAGTTCATATAATATTATATCAATAATATTATATGAACTTATAATTATATTATCAAGTGCAACGATATGTATCAGCCGTTTAGACTCGTTATAGTGGTGTTCATGCATTTAGATTTTAGATACACTTAATAACTAAACTGTATATATGCCTTTGATGGTAATTAGACAGGGATATGATATTTTTTATAATATTACATGATTTTAATGAAATTATGATATTTTTCCCTATTTTTCACTAAAATATTGTAATGTTTCCATATGATTTATTAAAATTATGATATTTTTACTTATTTCAGCAAGATTTTTGTATTTACACACAGACATCTATGTTTTTATCGAAATTAGTACATTTTAACGTATATTCACATTGATGAGTAAATTTTTAGATTTCAGCATAAATTCTACCTACGTATTTAACGAAAAAATGAGTAAATTATATATGAGTAGGTCCTATATTGCATTTAATTGCTGTATATTGGATAGCGTTGTATCAGTATGCATGGCTACGTTGTGATCTATTTTATGTATCAACTGTTAATATATAATAATTAATATATGTTTAAGAAATTAGGTATCAAATAAATTATATATCGAAAATATTTTATATAAATTATTATTTGGAATAATAGATCGAGTCTATATGTATGCATGAATGCTGTTTAATTAAATATATATCTATGTACGTATGTATGAATACTGTTTAATTAAATAAGAATATGTAAGGTTATATACTAGTATGTGTGTATGTAAATATGTGTATGCCTATATGTAGGCGACTTATTGAGGTGTATATATTATATATATGAATGTTTATATGCTTATATATATATATTTATGTAATCCATATAATATGTTTAGGTATTTGTAATGTCAAATATACATATCGGTATATGATTTAATGTGGGTTTGCATATCATACTACGTTTCACATGTTCATGTAACTGTAAAAATATGTGGTGGCTCGATTATAATATTTTTTACTTATTGTTATATATATATATAGTATTCTCACTGCACTTGACGAATAATAGTACAATAATAACAGTAAGAGATTTATTTTTTTTTCTTAAATACCTATAATCCATGTATATATATAAGCTATGATTTTAGTCTAATGTAATCTCATACAATATTTCAATGTATATATGATTGATTAAAAATATAAGTAAGTATCTGTAATATTAATCATGATAGGTTGGTCTAATAGTATTGTGTGTATATATAAAGATACAAGAATGTATGTACGTTCCCACCTATATGCTCATTGTAGCATGAGCCTGTATGGAAAATGACTAATAACATGAAAATTTATAAATGTTTTATTGATAAAGATGTTACTATAATACTACATATGTACCGTTAATTATTGTGTAGGTACCTATTTCGAGATTTTTTGTAATAAACCGCATAAAGTACCTATCTACTGAAATGAGAGATATTGTTAATAGTTCTTAATTTTCCAATATTATAACTTATACAATGATATATAGCGGAGGTGATATGCCTGTGTGTGTGTATACACACCGAAGTGTTCCCGGAATCAACTTCTGAATATTGCTTAATATTACATGAGCAAATTATAACTTATAATCCATTTAATGGTGAAATAAGAACCTTGTAAATATTTTTCTGTAAACCTTAATATTATTTTAATAAAAGAAAATACTTTTTTTTATATCATGTTTATTTTTATTTTTCATATAAATTATTTAATTTCGTACAAATATTAAAATAGTCGCCGCTTAACATCACGTACTTGTGCGGGATTTTCAGCTTAAGTTGGATGGACTCGTTTGTGTGATGGCGCTGGATGTTCGGTGTAAGTTGGGTGAGATGGTGGTGATATCGTCCTGAATTGATAGAAATAATCAGGGCCGTCGTTAACGTCGCACGGCTGTGGTCTAAGAACCTCATTGGTTGAAAGTGGGCCGTCAATATGATCTATCGGCTATAAAAATTAAATATAAAATCTTTAAATTGTTTTTTATTAAAAAGTATTTTATAAATTACCTTAAATAAATCATATTCCTCATCCGACTGATTAAATCCATTACGTCTATTGGAGTCTTCGTACAATTTGTAGTTACCAGCGTTGACGGGTGAATAGCTTGGTTCCATTACTGACAGGGTTGTAGAATAAAACGAGAAGTGTGAAAGTCAAAATTTAAATATGTCAGAATGGTCATCACATTCATCGTCCATTGCATTTCTAATTGTTCCCTAATACGTTCTGAATCAAACATCGCTATTCTTCTGAAGCCGTAAACTAGCTGCATAATGATATAATACTGGGTATGCCTACGGATCGTTCTAGATGAGTGCAATAACACACAAAACGATAGTTGAATCTATAATAAATTATCTGATATTAGTAAATCTAATCATATTATCTACAATATTTTAATATTCGTATGTTTAAACTTACTATAACCTCATCTTCAGGAATCGTTCGATCATAGTGACTTTCACGCATCAACATACACAAAACTCTCAATTCTACATTACACCGTAGAGAAACCGATCTCGCATGTGCTGACCATATCCTCTTCTTCTCACCTGAATTATTTATAAGTGAATATTCTTGATGCAACCGTCTTAAATAAATAATAGTGTCAGGGTTAGCTCCCCGAACGACTGGCGACTCAATTATCTCACTGAATAAAAAAATATATATATATAAATATATGGCAAAATAATTAAAAATTACTAACACTTACGCATTTTGTAAAATTCGTCTGTTAGGCGAGATGACGACTTCGAGAATTACACGACACATAATTATTTTATAAAATATATAAATATAAAATAATTTTAAATAAACAAAACTAATAAAAAGGACTAAATAACACAAATGTACAGTTCAACGTTAAAAACACGACTAGTGGCCTAGTCTAACATCTGGGTTTCTAAGATATTTCATGAATACAATACGCTCGATGAAACCTTAAAAGAGATGTCGACTTACCCAGAATTGTATGTTAGTATGTTACATTTTTATAAATAAGAGTTCGAATCTCTCCAGAGCCTTTTTTCAATATTAATTATTGATAGAAAAAATATTACAATAATATGGTGTGTGTACAATAATATGGTATCATATGACTGTTAGATAAGAGACTGATAACACTATGTTGTACGCATGCGCGAATACATAGACCTAATACCAATATACCATAGACCTATTAACTAAATAGGTCTATGCCTAATACCTATTAACTAAACTTAACTTTAGTTAATAGGTCTATGAGAAGATGACACGATTAAAGTTATAATAAATTATATATTTATATCTTTAATCGTGCTAACTGCTAGATGATATAAAAACAATATGTGTTTGATAACATAAATCAATAAATATTAAATTATTATTTTGTAGCTTTTGTGTTGCTCAAATGCTCAAAGCTCTATCAAAGATTTAATCCAAACGCCTCCCAAATCTTAGATCATATTAAATAATAATTATAAACTGTACAGTGTACTGTAATTGTTTACGTATATTAATATTATATACCTCTATGATAATATATTAATATATTTATATATTTTAAGTGGTTTGTGATAAATCAGCATTTTTAACAATTAAAATATAGTTTGTGGTGTATAACAATTATTAAATATCTGTAATAAATGCTAAATTTAAACAATATAATTATAATTAAATATCTGACCACCACAATAATTATTGTGCTGATAATATTTTCGTAACAAGTGGCAACTGGCAAGTGCAATCGTGAGATAGTCAACATTTACCTAGCCTAAATGCCTAATGCAGTAAACAAATAACTTAATCGTTAGTCAGACCTAGAGTGTCAGTATACTTGTCTATGGTCTTCAGAGTACTCTAATGAATTGATCAATTTATATGTACTTGTGTTCGTGTATTGTGAATAGATCTTTGCATTCAGTACCTATTTAATAGGGAAATATTTTATTCTTCAGAATTTCACAAAAAATTCGTGAAATTTGTCAGTGACTATATTGTCGTTAAGAATGTGATAAGAAAACACGCGATAAGATAAAATGATAATAAATACTAAATACAATAATATCATGAATAATATTATTATCTTCTACAGATCTATGAATTTTATTTTTGCAATTAAGTATAAACAGCATACTTGCTAGTTACTACTTAGATATTGTTATATTCTCTGTATTAACTACGAAAAATGTATTGTTTCGTGTCAGCATAAATACACTTTGAAATGTTAATATCATAATTTCTTAATTGGTAATGGATTTAAACAACAAATATCAAAATATGAGTTCAGATTCAGATTCCAAATCAAGTTCTTTGAATTCAAAAGTCGAACATGAAGAATCGGTAAGTTATGATGTTTCCTTATTTAAATATAAATTTCCATGTTATCATGATGATTTGTTTATTTAAGTTTGATTTTACTGTTAATAATTGCTTCATAGGCATTTTGCATCTATCATTTATATTTTACCTTATAAATGTATGTAAGATGTATACTTAATCTAGTTAATGACTTTTAAATTAATTATACGTGTACACATTTTCTACCTAATAGACCTATTATTTTTATTAGGAATCAAATTCACCAACTAAAAGCCGCCGATCGACAAGTTCTACATCAAATGAAATTCCAACTGTAGGAGATATAAAATTAAGAAATAAAGTAATTTTATTTTTAAAATAAATTTGAATATTAACGTAGTTTTGTACTTATTTAATTTTATACTTTTGTTTAAGCCATCAGAAAATGTTGCTTCTGGCCGTTCAGATGATCCACCTTTATTACTAGGAGAGAAAGTGCAAGGTGTGGCTCGAGATGTCACTTATTTATGTCCATTTAGTGGTCCAGCAAGAGGTTGGTTATCTGTCACCAACTATAAATTATACTTTAAAAGTTTAGAACGTGATACTCAGCTAGTAATTGAAGTACCATTGGGTGTGGTTAGTATTTACTTTATTTAAATACAACTAAAGAATGAAACATCATACATTTTCAAAACAGATATTAAAGAAATTTCATTTTTAAAAATGTATATTGCATACTATTATTGTATCAAGTATTAAAATTGACTAAATACTGGTAACAAAATACAGAATTTTGGTATGCTGGTTTGAATAATTATATATTTTTTTTTGATAAAATATAATATGACAGGTGAGTAGAGTGGAAAAAGTTGGTGGTCAATCAAGCCGAGGGGAAAATTCATATGGTATTGAATTATTTTGTAAGGATATGAGAAATTTACGCTTTGGTCATAAACAAGAGAATCATTCAAGACGTAATGTGTTTGAAAAACTTCAGCAATATGCATTTCCTCTGTCTCATAGTATTCCAATGTTTGCTTTTGAATATACTGAAACATTCCCAGAAAATGGTTGGAATGTTTATGAACCTATGGCCGAACTCAAAAGAATGGTAAATTATTGTACTCCACTATAGGGTATTAATTTTAATAATTATATGTTATAATATAAACGTTTCTTAGGGTGTGCCAAATGATACATGGCACATTACTAAGCTCAATGATGGTCATGATCTTTGCGAGACATACCCTGCTATTTTAGCTGTCCCAGCTGGAGCAACAGATGAAATAATAAGAAATGCAGCAGCTTTCAGAAGTAGAGGTCGAATACCAGTATTAAGCTGGTTACATTCCGAATCTCAAGCCACTATAACTAGGGCATCTCAACCTTTGGTAGGTGTTGGTGGGAAGAGGTGTCGTGATGATGAGAGATATACTCAACTTATAATTGATGCAAATGCACAGTCACATAAACTTTATATTATGGATGCAAGGCCCAGGTAAATCTGCATAATTGATAATATAACTATTATTGTAGTTCTTATTCAAATGTGCATGTTCCAGTGCCAACGCAATTGCCAACAAGGCTAAAGGAGGTGGTTATGAACCAGAAGATGCTTATCAAAATGCAGAATTAATATTTCTTGATATACATAATATTCACGTAATGAGGGAATCTCTGAGAAAACTTAAAGGTATGTTGGTTGTATGTTTAGCTGTAGTATTTTGATTTTTAACTGTAAATACCTTACCGTAGAAATATGCTTCCCAAATATTGATGAAACAAAATGGTTGTCGGGAATTGAATCTACATATTGGTTAAAACATATTAAATGTATACTGGCTGGAGCTTGCCGTATTGTCGATAAAGTAGAAAATCATAAGACTTCAGTTTTAGTTCATTGCTCTGATGGATGGGATCGTACAGCGCAGGTGCATAAAAAATAAAATCTATTATATTTTATTTGGACTATAATATACTATAATGTATTTTATGTTTAATTCCATTAATATTATTCTGTATCAGTTGACTGCATTGGCCATGGTACTTTTAGATCCATATTATAGAACAATAAAAGGATTTGAAGTATTAATTGAAAAAGAATGGCTTAGTTTTGGTCACAAGTTTCAACATGTAAGTAAAAATATAGATTTATTGTTTATTTGTTAGACTAATTAATTAGGTGTAACCTTAATATTTCACAATATTTAGACATTTAACCCTTAAGGCCAATGTAGTAGACCCTAATATTGCATTAAGTTAGGTTACCCCAACACAGTGGTTCACTTTTAAGTTTTAAGATAACGTCAGTTTTGAGTTGGGCGGGCGAATTAATCACAGGAAGATAGTCTGTGATAAGAGAAAATTACATCCAGTGCAATAACCCAGTATCTATTAATTTTATAGGAGGCATAATGAACTCCATAGTTAAATTTCCAATTTAAATAGTTTAAAAATGTATTTAAATTCTCTAGATATAAGAGCTAACTATTAATAAATATGTTTATATATCTTGATTACATAGTTTAAAATAATAATTGAGGAATCTGGTTATTACACTAAAATGAAAATTGAACTCTTTTTAAACTTATTTTGTATTGTAAAAAAATTATCATAGATGTTACAGAATTGCAAATAATACAACTATGTATAATATCACATTATAGAGCAATAGTTTAGTACCAACATATTTTTCTTGATTTATCATAACAGATATTACATACGTACATATGTACGTCCATGGTATAAACACATGGAGATACCATGTTATTGCACCTAACTAATTTAAGGCTGTTCTTACAATGTCAGGTAAATGTCGGTTAACGCTAACCAGACATTGTTAGAACGGCCCTTACTACATTATATACCAGATTACCAGATATCTCTATTTTTATGATATTAGCTTATGCATATTATGTAACTATCATAACCACCTATAGTATTATACTATTATCGCTAATACTATAATATTTACCAGTACCACCTGATCATATTATTCTAAAAATTAATTAACGTAAAGTATATGGATCTCTAAACTTACGGTGTAATAGAATATTAAATTACTATACCTCACTTAAAATTGTTGTAGTTGTCCATGATAATTAACTAAGGTCTAAGTGTTTCAAGAATTTGAGTTTCTTAATTAATATAATATTAAGCTGCAAATTTAATTTTATTCTGACATTAACTAATCATAAAAACTCAGTATTTAAATAATGCTGTATTGAGATCCAACCTAATTTCAGTGTGGTTTTTATAATTAGAGAATTGGCCACGGAGATGATCACCATTCAGATGCCGATCGATCACCTGTTTTTCTACAATTTGTTGACTGCGTTTGGCAGGTGACATGCATGTTCCCAAATGCGTTTGAATTCAATGAGTTATTTTTAATAACTATTATTGATCATTTATATTCTTGTAGATTTGGAACATTTCTTTTCAACAGGTACTTTAATTGTTTATGATACAATCATTATTAGAGATGCAAATTAAGTAAAATTAACTAATCAATAAATGTATAATGAGGTGTGATGATTTTTTTAAAAATTGATATCTTGCTTCATACTTTGTTTCTCAACCAAAATTAAAATTTTGAATAATAATATGAAAAAAAGAATAGTTGTTACCATTAAATTCAAGTAAATTTGCATTTCTATTAACAATATTGCATAAACGCATAAATATTATATTGTATCACATCACAACTTACTATACATAATATTATTTATTTTACTTAGTGAAAAAGAGCGCCTACAAAAAGAAGTGAAACAAAAGACTGTTTCACTTTGGTCTTACATTAACAGTGATCAAGATTTATATAAAAACCCTTTATACTGGCCCCAGCAACACGCTCTAGAACCAGTTGCTTCATTGCGCTACATTAAAATGTGGAAAGGACTGTATTGCCGATGGAATCCAAGCATGAGACCACAAGTAACTAACTACTTGTTGATAACCAATGAAGTTTTATAATTTATATTAAAATAATTTCAGGAACCAATTCATCAAAGAACAAGAGAACTTCTACATATGAAAATGCAATTAATGAAAATTTCAGATGATTATCGTCGAGAACTCAGACATAAAGCATCTAGAAACACTTCTAGCAACCGTTTAACATCTCCCATACACATTTAAACTAAACAATTATGAATACTGCATTACATCTCATTAATTTGTTACACCCATTTATTTTATATTTTTTATTGTTATTAAAGAAAATTATAAATCATATATGTTATTTATTTTAGTGAATTTAATGTATATTATATAATAATGAATTGTATTTAACTAATTATTAAGTTTATGCATTATACATAATAGAAATAATCAAATAATAAGTATTTTTCAAACGTGTATTTATTAAATAAAAATGTCATATCTTTAAATAGTTTGCATTCGTCGCTCACATTGCTTGCGCTCCATCTTGTGACATATTTATTCAGTATATTGTTCTTATGTATCAATTTATACTTAATTTACACTTAAAACATCTGCGTTAAATTAACATAGACTAAGTAATGTAAAGGATTACTTAGTTTCTCTAATTGTTCTCATAATCGATATAAATAACAAATTAATAATCTCATAGCGCTTACCTACGTATTCACTACATCTACAACAATTGGGTGTTGTCTTATCCCACGACGCTGCGGCGGCAGTGACCTCGTCTTATAGCAATAATAATTATGCCGCAATCTACATCCAATAATAATAACACAAATTTAGCCAGCACTAAATCTAACGACATTACCAAACTACAGCCTGCTCGCTTAAACAAAGTTTCAACTTCTGTCAACACTATAACCACTCAGCCGGTAATCAAGACGTTACCATGGTAAATTCTTCGTAAGGAAATTGGTCCGTGGCACAGTCAAAAAAAAATCTATTTAAAATAAATCTCTCTTCCTCTTCTTCCGAACCAAATTCGCCGAAAATACAAAACAACAAAAAATTGTTTTTTACGTCAAATCGCTTTGAAGTGCTCTCACAAGATGAATCACAGCCCACCAATTCAACAGAACCTACTCCATCGATTTCTAATGAGTCGATTCCAGAGAATAACATCAATGTCGGAATTAAATCAACCCTCCTCCCACCAATTTTTGTAAAAGGTGTAATCTGTTTTATGTTATGTAATACACATACAATCAATGAACACCCACTACTGTTATTTTTCGTCGACCTCGAACCGACAATTCAGTATTTCAGTCCAACGACATTTATAACCTGACATCTCTTATCCACACCAAAATAAAAGTGGAAGAACCATACAAAACAAAATTTTAAGCCAGGATTATGGTCATACGAAATCGTACTGCGGCTTAGATGCTCACTGTGTCCGCTGCGATGCACTCCACTCTTCATCGGCCTGTCCAAATCCACGGGATGCTACTCCAAAATGTTCCCTCTGCTCCGGTGATCACCCCTCAAATTATAAAGGCTGCTCTGTTTACAAGGATCTACAACATCGTAACAAACCAAAAAAGCTAGAGCAATCTTTGTCGGATAATATTAGTCATAAGAAAAATGTACAGGTTAGTCATCCAGTGGTTACCCCCTCAACACATCCACCAGACTCGTCCCAAACCTACGCTCAAGCTACCTCCGATTATTACTCTAATAACATAATCCCTCCTCCTGCATCAGATATAAATAAGTTCCTCGACGAGTTCAAATTACTAATAATTTAACTAATTGCCCCACTCACCCAAGTTATCTCAAAACTTCTGGATAAAAATTAATGTCTTCTTACACAAGCAACTCCCTTCTTATCCTTCTATTCAACTCAAATGGTCTTAAAAATCCCTCAAACGAACTCCAATTAGTACTCCAGGAGAAGCGTATCGATATTGCCTTGACATCCGAAACGCATTTTACAAAATACTCTCACATCGCTATACCCGGTTATCATCTCCTAAAAAAAAACACCCAGATAACTCTGCTCATGGTGGTGCTGCAATTTTTGTTAAATCTTCCTTGTCTTTTCAATCCCTTCCAAATTTTTGTCAGCCTCATTTACAGTCTTGTGCTATTTTACTACACCTCAACAATATACCAACAACTTTAGCAGCAATATCCCTCCGAGACATAATATTAAAATTAAAAACTATATAGATTACTTTAGCTCTTTTAGTCAAAACTTTATCATAGGTGGTGACTTCAATGCTAAGCACCTTAGCTGGGGATGTCGTACTAACAACCCAAGAGGTATGGTTCTCTACAATTTTATAAATTTTAAGGGCTACACTATCCTCGCGCCCCCCGGACCAACATATTGGCCCACCTCCTTACGCAAAAAACCGGACATACTAGACATATTTGTTTCCAACACACTTCGCAACCTATTCTGCACGACTACCAATCTCTTAGAACAATGCTCGGATCACTCTGCAGTACTCCTGACTGTCAGTGCCTGTCCTCCAATCTGGCCTTCTCTACCAAAACTCTTTCTCCATTCAACTGATAGGCTTACATTTCATGACTTGGTGGATAAAAACATAAATCTCAAAGTTAGTCTTAAATCCCCCCAAGAAATTGATGTAGCCATAAACAACCTAACAAATGTAATCCAATCTGCAGCATGGGCTTCTGGTCCTACTAAAATACAGTATTCAAATGTTCCTCCTTCAGTTCCCGAACATATTCGTATCCTTATATCCAATAAGCGCAGAGCAAGGGTCGTTTACCAACGTACACGTTTCCCATCCCACAAACGTATCTATAAGACTATAACAATCTATCTAACTCGCTGAAAAAAATACTAGCTAAACATAAAAATCTGTCTTTTGAAAACCATCTCTCAAACTTATCACCTAATACTGGCAATCTCTGGGCAGCTACTAAAAGTTTTCTAAAATACAAACCTCCGCTAGTTCTTATAATAAATCCCCACGGTGGTTTTGCATCAACCGATGTTGAAAAAGCATGACTGTTTAAAGAACACTAACTGAAACTTTCACGCCTCACTCGGATATAAAAATACCTTCACATACTGACACAGTAAATCTCTTACTTGATATCCCTCTTCCTATCTCTCTACCAGTTAAGCAGGTCTCTCCTGGTGACGTAAAATTTAAAATTCAAAAATACAGTCTCAAAAAATCAGTTATATATAATGCATGTCTAAGATTGTCATATTTTCCCATGCTTTGGAAATTCTCTGTAACAACGATAGGGTATGGCATGAGGGACTACTTTATAAAATAAAGCCAATATTCCATCCAACTTATTACTTTTTAATCAAATCCTACCTCACGGATCGTTACTTTCAGGTCAGAGTTGGCACATTCTTTTCTGGCTTAGCAAAGATTAGTGCAGGTGTTCCACAGGGGGGCATCCTTTCTCCTCTATTATACAACATATACGCTGCCGATCAACCCATCTCTCCGTACACAACTGTTGCGGAGTTTGCCGATGACAAAACTATTATTTCTATCCATGATAATCCTCACATAGCTTTATTAGATGTTTCGTAAAATTGATATTGGTTTTCGGACAATTCTATTTATAGAATTTTTCTGTAATTTCTAATTGTGTCGGCGACCGGCGTGGCGTAGGCTAACGATGCCGTGACCGTTCACGTTATCGTCAGAATCGCAGATATTACTTTTACCATTAATTCTATTGCTACAATATTGAATATTATATAACATTATCATTTTTCTACGGGATGCGGACAGCGTTCAACGCACTGCGAGAAAACGAGCGTATTTAAAAATGGTAAGTAATCTGTATTTTGAATTTTAATACACTGCCACTGATTTGATTATTTGAATTAAAAACCATATTTTGTACATTATATTTTGTACAATACTCAAAATGTCGTTTAAATAACATGAAATAAAAAAAATAATATGTAATATTTCGTCCTTTTTAATATTTTAATAAATTTACTACATATTTTATTTATACGACCGACATTTTTTACTTCATATTGTCATCATAAGATGATTTTAAAACTATTACATTTTCTTTAATTTCGTAGGCCTCAACTACTGATAAAAAACGTCCTTCTTCAAAAATTAGTTCATTTTTCAATCCTATTTCAAAAAAAATCACAGTTGAAAGCAGTATACCTGAAGAAAATATTTCAGACAATTCAGTAAAAGATCTTAATTCGAACATTGATTAGCATCTTCTAGTCATGATTTTCATCTTCATACTAATGACATAGGAGATTATATTGAAAAAAATATTGACGATTATACGAAGAGTGAACTTTTAATAAATCATTGGGTACCACCGACAAACTACGTATTTGTTGAAAAATTAATTGAACGTTTCTCCAAAAGCAAAAGAAAAATTCCATTTGCAATTTGAAAACCATAAGTCATAAGAAAATTAAGCTGATTTTAAGTTGTACATTTGATTAGAATTTATCGTAAATTATTAACTATAGTAAAATTTAGTTTAAATGTAGAAAAAGTAATGTAATTAAATATTTTATAACCAATAAAGTAAGATTGAGTAACCTAAATATTTCAAAAAAAAAATTTTTGTTTAATTATTTTTTGGTCTTTTTAAAGGTAACCTAATCATCATTATCCTGATGTCGAATAATATTAACATATTAAACCCTGATAAACTTTATTAATAATATTTGATGGCCCCCCCCATAAATCTGTTCTGGATCCGCGCCTGGATGTAGGTAAAACATGCTACATCGTGGTCTAGGTATAAGACATATTATATACATATCTATGGTACTAAACCAAAATTTGACCTATAATAGGTACCTATAATAAATTCCAAATTAATCATATCACAATATCCATTAGGTACTTATAACGCGTTATACATCAACAAAAACCGTGATACTATCATAGATATATAATATACACTTTAGAAGTTTCCAGTACTCACGAATAACATTATTCAATCACAACAAAATAACTAAAATAGTTATTATAGGTTTTTTAATATGTAATTTCGTCCAAATTTGAATTTAAAATGTCTGTAAAAAATAACTGTGTTCATATATTTTTTAGATTTTTTGGTTACAGTATGAACTATTTATGAGAACCTTTGTTTTAAATTTGCAATTCTTAGCTATAAAAACTGAACATTTTATAATTTATTAATTACAATGATTGATAATTTTCGAGATTTTGATAAATTTTGTCAAAATTCGATCTTTAAATGCTTATAAAAAAAACTGTGCCTATGTATTTTTAATATTTTTCAACTGATATTGTAACAATATATCAGGAGCCTTGTATTAATTTTTTACACTTTTTGGCACAACAGAAAAAACTTTTTTGATATTTATAGAAAAAAAACAAAAAAAAACTGAAAGCGGCAAATGTCCGTAAACAGTTCAAAATAAATCAAAATATTTTAAAAATGTTATCGTGTATATAAAATACAAATATAAACAACCAGTGAAAATTTCATGTATATACGTTCATTTCTTTTAGAGTTACACCAAAAACCAAAATCGATTTTTTGGAAAACCGATTTTGCGTAAAATTAATAAATTTAATAATTTAATAATTAATTAATTTCCTTAATTTTTATGTTGTTTTTCCCGGCGCTTGTGAAAACTACTGAGAAATTTTTACTTTTGACCCCCCAAAGTACCAACTAGATTCACTTTCCTATCAGAGAAAAGCTACTGTTGAAGAAAATCCAAGCATTTTACTGTTCTAAAACGTGATGATAGACACAAAAATAAAAAGTAAATAAAAAAATAAAATAAAAAAAAAAATTTAAAAAAAACACACATCATTGTAAAATCAATACATTCATCGTTTCACTCAGAATCTAAAATCAAATACAAATAATGCTTTTAATAATCATAATAATATATGTATTAATAATATGTTTCCTCTTCTTTTTGAAGTTTAAGTTTACTTTTTGCACATCCACTTAGAGGAGCTATTTTAAAATATTAAGATAAATTATTAATAAATACGTTGGCATGAGTACGGCGTGCCGCGTGAGCTGATTGCTGAATGTGAGTGTTCGACAGACTAGTTGACGCGTGACGACCATAACAATAATATAATTATTCTATTTCTATATGAATCAATATAATGACAATTTACCAGGGCAGTATTTAGGGATTTTTCGCCCCCGGGCACAATATTTATGGCACCCCTTTCCAACACATTTTTTTTAATACCATAGAAGTGGTGGCTAAATTTTTTTTTTTTGGGGGGGGGCATAAAGGTTATTAATTTTAGAATTAGATTCTGAGTGAAACGATGAATGTATTGATTTTACAATGATGTGTGTTTTTTTTAAATTTTTTTTGTGTCTGTCATCACGTTTTAAGACAGTAAAAGTGCTTGGATTTTCTTCATCAGTAGCTTTTCTGATAGGAAAGTGAATCTATTTGGTACTTTGGGGGGGGGGGGGTCAAAAGTAAAAATTTCCCAGTAGTTTTCACAAACGATAACATTTTCAAAATATTTTGATTTATTTTGAACTGTTTAGGGACATTTTCATTTTCCATTTTTTTTTAGTTTTTTTTCTACAAATATCAATAAAATTTTATTTGTTGGTTGCGAAAGCTTGAAAATTTAATAGAAGGCTCCTAATATATTGTTTCAAAGGCAGATGTAAAAAAAAAAAAATCCTTCGTCACAATTTTTTTTTATAAGTATTTAAAGTTCAAATATTGACAAAATATGGAAAAATCACGAAAATTAGCAAATTATTTTGAGTTAAGAATTCGTAAAAATTTTTCTTTTTAAATCTAAGATTTGAAAATGTAATACAAGATTACTCATAAGTTTGTCTACCTTTATCGATAAAAAAATCTCTACCAGAAAGTCAAATTAAATTTTTAAGAGCGTTTGAAATTCAAATTTTTACAACATTGAATATTCACTCGATTTCTCATGTAGCGATTTCCTTATTTTGTTGTAATTCAAAAACGAATAACTGTAGATACATAAAAATTCACTGAATGTTTATTTTATCAATTCTTATATGTACTTGATAACATTTTCAAAATATTTTGACTTGTTTTGAGCTGTTTATGGACATTTACATCTTTCAATTTTTTTTAGTTTTTTTTCTATAAATATCAATAAAGTTTTATCTGTTGGGCCAAAAAGTGTAAAAAATTAATACAAGTCTCCTGATATATTGTTACAAGAGCAGTTGAAAAATATTAAAAATACATAGGCACCGTTTTTTTTTATAAGTATTTAAAGATCGAATTTTGACAAAATTTATCAAAATCTCGAAAATTATCAATCATTGTAATTAATAAATTATAAAATGTTCAGTTTTTATAGCTAAGAATTGCAAATTTAAAACAAAGGTTCTCATAAATAGTTCATACTGTAACCAAAAAATCTAAAAAATATATGAACACAGTTATTTTTTACAGACATTTTAAATTCAAATTTGGACGAAATTACATATTAAAAAACCTATAATAACTATTTTAGTTATTTTGTTGTGATTGAATAATGTTATTCGTGAGTACTGGAAACTTCTAAAGTGTATATTACATATCTATGATAGTATCACGGTTTTTGTTGATGTATAACGCGTTATAAGTACCTAATGGATATTGTGATATGATTAATTTGGAATTTATTATAGGTACCTATTATAGGTCAAATTTTGGTTTAGTACCATAGATATGTATATAATATGTCTTATACCTAGACCACGATGTAGCATGTTTTACCTACATCGTGACCTAGACTGACATACCGTCTCCGCTCAGAATCGTTTTTCTTATACAATGATATTATATCGTTGAATTCAAATTTAACATCATCCATTATACAGTGACCCACTTGTAACCTACTGTACAGCAGAGCGACACCCACTTGCCCACCTTTTTTATGTTTCCCTTTCTCATTGAAAATTAATTTGCAGTTAATTTTTAGCAATTTTAACTAGGTACCTATGCATTCCAATATTAGATTTTTAATAGTAGGTAAACTATACAAAAAAACGTAAGTAACTAACTTATAACTTAGGTCTTAGGTACTATCTACCTAGAATCTTCCATGATACCTAGTAGGTACCTACCTACTTAGTTAATAACGTTTATTTTTCTTTATTTAAAATGATAAAATATAGGTAAAAAAAAATGTATGCATATGTGAATTAAGAATTTAAAGAATAAATAGTAATAAAATGTATCATTTTTTAGAAATCTTTCTCTTTACAAAAAAAATTAATTTTTTGTTTATTTTATCTGAGATAATTTTGCCGCCCCCAAAGTGTGCCGCCCCCGGGCAATTGCCCACCGGTGCCCCCCCTTCAAACCGGCCCTGCAATTTACCCTTACTCAAAAATATTTTTAAAATAGACATAAAAGTATAAAACAGCCACTGTCTAGATAAGATATGAATAACATGAAATGCTAGTATACTATATAGTAATGGTACCAGTATTGGGCTTTAAATAGCAATTATTTCCTAATTAATCGTTGACGATATTATGACATATAAAAATAAATTATCACCGATTCTTGGTAGCAACAGAAATTAAATGTAATACAGTATACATATTTTATTCCAGAAATGGACATGGATTGAATTTAGTTAGGTAACTTATTTTAGATTCTAATTAACACCCGATATATTTGGTTTTATTTGTGTAATATTTAGACAATATTAAAAGCCAACGTAAAATAATGGGCCCCTCTGAATACTTTGGGTGGGCCAGGCGGGTTAGGTTAGGTTTTTTTTCCTCGCCATAAAATTCCGGGTAAAGTACCCCTATCCCGGGCCAGGCACACCCTTCCCCCCCTCCCGCCGTTAGCTATGTGCCTGATAGTTGAACAATCGGTATTTTTCTCCGGGCAACGCTGGGTAATTCAGATAGTTATATGATAAAAATCAATAATGTTAATATTTAAATATTAATTATTAGTAGTTGATATTATTATAATTGACTGTGCATTTTAAAAATAATAAAAATATATAAGAAAATTCCATTAAAAAAAACGTGTAGGTAGTAGATACATCGTACATTGTATTATTGTAAACATTTTTCTTATAACCTGGCCTGTCCTGAAGTTTTATCTTGGGCACGCCTCTCGCCTCAGTGGCACCGGCCAGAGCTTAGATCAAAATTATATACTAAATAATATATTATTATAATTATCTAAGGGCCAGAGTTTCCACTTTCCACACAGATTAATTCATTTAATCTGTGGTTTCCATTCAGATTTAATCTATTTCGGGCTGCTGGGCATTCCCTTGTGATTTTGGCGCCAAGTGACGGGTCATGTCGTCACTAGGAGCGCTAGTAAGCAGTTAACAGGATTCTTTGACGACGGCCTCCCCCCCCTCGACGATCACGTTTCCCTATCAATGATTGGCCGTTGATCTTCTACCGTATTTTAGACATTGCAATTTATAATCAATTTTCGTTTTCTAATTTCTATGGAATATGATTCATGAACCGAGTTGTCAACAGTAGTTACTTTTTTATCTATGCCTTGAACCGTTTTTTGTTTTGCAGCATGCAATAATCGTGCATTGTGTGTTTCAACTTTCAAGTGACAACCCTGTTGCAGTCCCGCTAAGGCGAACCTATTTAGTCATTAAATGGTTTAAAGAATAATTTTTATATTTTAATGCATTATATTTGAACTTGGTGGTACTCCACTAGTGTTTGTAATACGTTAGGTTAGTTTAGGATCGATACACGATGGTGGACGTAGCTAGTCTAGTCAACTCCATTTTGGCGGACGATGGCTACAACGCACTGTCTGATGACACCAAAAGCAAGTTCGAGCAGTATTTACGCAACCCTACCACAAGCCGCAATGAAATCGGGACAAATACTTCATCTGGTTAGTATTTTCGGTTTATTGATGGTAGTCTAATGGAAAAGATAGTTTTGTGTTAACGTCTGATGTGTGCACTAGAATCCAGCAATCGACCGGAAATCGATTTCGATATGCTCAACAACAGTACTAGCATTCGAGAAGCTAAGTTTTTGGAATTGCAAAAAGAAATCGAGGCAGTCAATGAACAGTTTAAAAACACGTTGAAACAAAAACATGATTTGATGTTACACAACGATTCACTATTAAAGAATTTACATGAGGCTGAAGTTAGGTAACGTGATAAAAATGCTTTGAATATTAGCTTATATATATCTATATTGATGTATTTATATTGATTTCTAATATTTTGTTCTAGAGAAAGAATGACTAAAGTGGATGATGGTATATTACAGCTAAAAATTGATACCTTAACTGAAAGTTTATTAAAGTGCACAAATAAATTCTCAAATCTTCATACAAAGTATCATAAAGAAATAAATGAATTAAAACCAAATTTAGATGAAAAAAATGCAGAGGTAAAATCAACACGTTTTTAGAATTGTAATATGTAATTTTAAATTAATGATACAAAATAGGTGATAATTAGAATTAATTTTTAAAATTATAATAGTCTTTGTAAAAATACTTTTTATATTAGTTTATGAGGAATTCTTAATTTATATGTTTAAGGTTTTGGCGTTAAAAAATGATGTCAATTTATTACAAATAAAATCTAAAAATCAAGAAGACATTATAAATATAATGAAACGTGAAATAGATGATTTAAACCTCGTACATGCAAATGAAACAGAAAAAACTAATAAAGAGTTAGCTAATAATCAAAGTTTAATGAATCATTACAAGGGTAATATTTTAAAAATGAATGCCAAGTATTTGTATCTAATTTCTTGATTTTTTTTAGTATGTTATGAAAATGAACTTGAGCAAACTAAACAATTAACAATGGATATAATGGAGAATAGAGACTATGTAAGCAGACTGACATCAAATACAAATGATATTGAAAAAAAATATGCAACACTTTCAAATGACTATCAACAATACAAAATTGACTCGGATAACACAATATGTGTATTAAGAAGCAAGTTAAATGCTTCAGAGGAAATAGTTAAACAATTACTTCCTGGTAATTTATTTTTATTTATCATAATAAAATTTCCTACAAAAATTTGTTTTCTTGGATATTATTAAACTTACAGTCACTAAAAAATGCATAATTACATGCTTCCAGACAAAAGTAATAAACCAAATAGTAAACACTAAACAGTCTTAGAAACTATTGTATACTGCCTGACTGTCTTCGCTAAAATTAATTTTCGTATACAATGATTTTATATCATTGAATTAAAATATAACACATTATAGTGACCCACAAAAACTCAATGTACAATAAAGCGATACCCAATTTCACTTCTTTTTTAAATTTTACATTGTATATATTCAATTTGAATGTTATTGTTAATAATATAGAAAAATAATTATGTTTTAGTTACTTCAGATAATTCAAATTATCTTCTACGTAAAGGAACAACAATTACTGACGTTTATGCTATTTATAAGGAGACATGTTTAAGTTTACAAAGTACAACACTAGAACTTGAACATTGCAAAAGAAACTTTAATATTTTAGAAGAAGTAAGAAATGAATATAAAAAAATATTTATTTTTCATACTCGTTCAAATTTATACTATTATTTTATTTTATATTTTTATTTTATTGTATATCAATATTTAACTAAATAATTATAAATTTAATTCATCTACTAAACAATTTAAATATTCTTTTTAATAAATTTCAAAATAGTACTGCCAGTTTTTAAATATTATAATATTTGTTGTAGCAAATTAGGACTGCTGCGCCCGAAGTTGATGAAATGGAGAAAGATTTAATTGAATCAAATGAAAAAGTTAAACAATTATGTGAAACTATTTCAAGATTGGAGTTGAAGTTGAAGGATGTTAATAATAAATTAGAACTGTCTAATACTAAATGTGATCAGTTATCAAAAGATAATAAAAAACTTCAAAGCACAGAAGACGATTTGAGCAAACAAGTAAGATTTAAAAATGAGGTTTATTATTATAATATATTTATTTTTATTTTGTATTTTATGTTCTTAGGTATGTTTCTTATTGCGAAATAACCAGTGCAATACACGTTATGAAAATCGTAATGTTGGAAAAGATATGAGTCCCCAATCAGTATGTATTAGTTAACTATAATTATTAAGATAAAGTTTTATAATATAACAACTTTTTTAGATTATTTCAAATAATTATGTTACATTTGAAAACATACAAGGCTTACAAAAACAAAACAAAAAATTACTAGAAATTATTCGTTCTTTATCTAAAGCAAATGATGAACAAGATATACAATTAATAAAAGATTTAAAGGTTGGTACTTATTTTGAAATATATTAATTTGAATTATTTTTATGACAGATGTATTTGATCAATTTGTTTTTAACAGTTCTGCCTACAAATTATTATTTGTGTTGTATTCTCTTTTCCATTATATTATTTATAACATATTTTGTTTTAGGATAAAATTAAAATCTTGGAAGATGAATTAGAATCAAAGGCTCAATTGATTAACCAGCAAACGGTTAGTAGTAAAATATTTTATAAAATTAATTATAACAATTATACATAATGCAATAAATTACTGTGTAATACAATTTTAATTATATAACTCAAATTAAATAAATCATTTTAATGTGTATAATTTTATGTTGTTAGGAAAAAATATCTCAATTACAATCTTTGGAATTAACGTCTAAATCAACTACACAGTTAAATGATGATGCACAAATTAAAGTTCTAAGTCCTGTAAGTAAATACAATTTTTAAAAACAACACTTATATTTTCTTCAAATTAATAAAATATATTTTTTTTAGAAAAAAACAACATTAGAAAATGATGGTAGTATAGATGGTAGGATGGAAGAAAATTTAGAATATTTTTCTGTAGTTCGTGAACTAAATGCTGCCAATTGTACGATTAAACAACTTAAAGAGAAACTTGAATCTAATAGTGTTGCTCGTTTGCGGTTGGACCAACATGTTCAAGAGTTAAATCTTCAAATAAATGAGTTACAAAAAAAAATAAAAACCTCCAATATTAGGCATTCTGAAAATGAAGAAAACATAGACAACTTGCATGGTAAAATATTATCTTTGGAAACAGTAAGTTACTTTTTATTTCTGAAGATATTCATTTCTATACATAGTTTTGTTTATCAACAATTTTTTTTTAAATACTAGGAAAATCAAGAGGTAAAAATTGAATTAGACAAAATAAAAAATCAATGTAACATTTTAAAAAAAGATAATGATAGTATGTATATTTCAAACATGAATTATTCTCGTGAATTGAGACAAAAAACAGAGTTACAAAAAGAATTCGAGAAAACTTTGACTTCCCAATTAGATTCACTAATTATAAATTGGAATTTTACATTAGCATATATTGCTGAAACTGATTATGATAAAGTTAAGTTCAAAGAAGAATATAAAAAATTAACAAAAACATTAAAGGATGTTAGAGATACTTTACTTCTAAAATTGGAAGCTATAGATGATTTGAGTACATTCAAAGAAATGTCTCGATCCAGAACCAATTCATTCAGTTTGTGTACAGATGAGCGTTCTAACTTCCAGAGTGTTGTTAATAAGCTTGAGCACGAAGTAAAAAATCTCAAATCAAAACTTAATGAAAGTGGTAATTATTATTCATTTATTTTATAAAATGTATCATAAATTCTATAATATTTTATTTCATCTTAAACTTTCTTTAGTTCCTGACTCCTTATATCATCTTCCACTACATTAATCCATATTTTTAATTTTGAGGTGGTTTTCTATTCCACTGCTTATCTTAATTTTTTCCTGTCCTCATTATGTGTCTTAACCATGTAACGTTGGTCCCTTAACAAAGCTTGTCATTTTACAATTCTCTATTGATCTATCTTTAAATTGTATTATATACCTATAAATTGTTTCTGCTTTTATTATAGACCAATTGAAAAATCAGTTAAAATCAGAATTAAATGTGACCAAACAACTTTACAAATCTTTAGAGGAAAATTTAAAAAAAATGAGTGAATATTCTTCACAATTAGAAAATGAACGCGAAATGAAAAAAAAAGAGTACTTAGAAAAAGATCAGCAGTTAAATCATGCGTAAGTTGTTTGATCATACATACATATTTTCTGATAATTTATTATATTTTAATAAATAAAAATCATCCAATTATAGTTATTGCTTACTATAGATATGTGTGAATGTGTGATCTACATGTTCAGCTATTTAAAAAAATTAATTCAATTGAACTCATTAGTATACTATCCTATTAAATTAAGTGAAATAAAATCTGTCCTGTCATTATTCATATAGGCCACATATCAAAAAACCATTTATTATATTGTAATCCACAAATTCTCTACATGAAAACTATACGTTTGTTTCCTTTCATTATATTTGAAATAAATATAATATTAAAAAGTATTGGATAAAAGTTATTAGCTATGATTAGAACAAAAACAAATCAAAATGTAATCAGTGTTTACTAATCACATAGTGGAGTATTTTTCATGAGTTTTTAAAATTTACATTTACTGTACAAAATGCACTCCTCCCATAAGCTATTCATATTAATATTAAAAAGTTTTAGTAATAATTTCTATGACATAAATAAACTATTTAAACTACATAAGTAATGAGATTTCTTTTTACAGTATGTATTATTTAACATTTTGTTACAGTATGCAAGAATTGAGCGAGTTTAACTTATCTCAAAACGATAACATCAATAAATTACAAAATCAATTGTTGGAGTATGAGCAAAAATATAGTAAAATGTTAGAAGAATTGGAAGCAGCAAAAGACTATAGTGATGAACTCTTAAAAAACATTTCAAAACAAAATAATACCATATTAACACTTGAAGAAGAATTGAAAAAGTCTGTTAATGATAAAGATAGATTGGAGAAAAGCCTTAATCATAAATTAGCGCATTATAAATATAAATTAGAAGTTAGTGAAAGCGCATAACAATAAAATATTACATTATAAGTTATAACCAATATGTTTTTGTTGATTTCCAGAGATTAGATTCATTAGAATTACTTAATACAACAAAATCTGCAGAAATAGATCATTTAAAAAATCAAAAGGCTGCTTTAGAAAAGTCTACTGAAGAAATAAAAGAGATGCATAAAATACAATTAAACAAATTAGATGATGAAATAAATTGTCTCAAAGAAACAATAAAACGCTGGCAATTTGAAAATGAACTATTATCAGAACAATTTAAGACAATAACTTTTGAACTTTTGAACCAGGAACGATTGGTAATAAAATAAACCAAACTATACTGTAAATTAAACTAAATGTATTTATTTTACTTATAGAATAACAGTAAAATATCAGACAAAGATGATAGTTTAAATAACACTTCTTTATGCACAAATAGTATTGATAAACAGTTCATGAAAATGGCCAATTTGATTAACATCTTGAAAGACGAAAAAAATTCAATCATTTTAGAATTTAATGAAACTATTGCTGAATGCAATAAGTAATGGTTTTTATATTATTAATATTATTACTTAATTATAGATTCTTATATTTTATTAATAAATTTAGATTGAAATCTGATTTACATTACAAATCCAAAGTTGTTGATGACATGCAAACTCAAATGAAAGAATTAAGACAGCTACATACATCCGGCTTAGTTATGAATAATGATCATTCAAAAATTTTAGAAAAGGTATGTATTAAGTATAATTAATAATCTATTTGCATTCTTTTTAAATTAAATAAGCTGATTAAAAAAATTGTATTATAATTAAAACATATTAATAGGTTTAATTTTTATTTTCAACTTTTTACATGTTTAGATTGAACTTAGCAATCAAATAGTAGAAAGAAGTAAAATGTTAGAAGAAGAAAATGTTCTATTATCCAGCCAACTTAAAGAGTTACAAGAATTAGATACAAAAAAAACTGCTGAGATTTGTGCTTTAAAAGATGATATATCAGGAATGCAATGTGAAATTGATCAAAAATGTGCAGAGGTATTAATTTTGGTATTATTTTTATGTGAGAACTGAGAAGTGAATATTTTTTAATACTTAGTGTAGATAGACTTGGAGTAGATATTTTTGAACAAAGTACTAACATACATGAAAATAAACATGACATTAATCTCGAGCACGGTTTTATGTCATCGGTTTTCATGGAACTATAATATTTATTATTTAACTACTGCTACGCTCACGAAAAGATGGACTTAGTTTCTAACGACTATAATTAAGTAATGATTATCAAAATCAATTGGCGCACTTTTTCAAATTATTAATTAATTATGTATCATTATTTTTTCTCATGCACTATGTTGGTGTAAAATAGTACAATATTGAGAATGTAAGAACCCTGTCACCGATAATACTCAATTACTGACAATTAGCCAGTGCTCACTTTTCTCTAGCAGTCTAGCCCAACCAGTTGCATGGAAATTGCCTCTGAGATTTTTCTTAAATAGAAGGTTGGGTCCACTAGTAAATGTAATTTGATATACTCTATAGGTAGTCAATTATCATCTAAAAAATGGGTTGTATTATATTAATATATGATTATGCATTAATACTTAGGATATTTGTAACTTGCCCCTGGAAAATTTTCAGTTGGCCTCGCCACTGAACCCAACTATTTTCTCAGATTCTTAAGGTTTAAAACAATCTTTTTACCTGAATAAAAATGTAAATGAACATGTTTTTCTTTAAATGAATTTAATACAGTTTTTTTTCTTTTAATTAGGTTATAACTGTAACTAAAAACTTGTCAAGATGGAAAGAACGATCAAATGGTACTCATTCTGATACAGAGTTTAAACAACTGTTAAATACACTAGAACGAGAAAAAGGAAAAATGACTACTGCTCTTGATCAATTAAAATCTATGAAATCAGATAAATCATGTCTTGAAGAATTGGTAATATGCTATATCATTAATAAGTTATATTGAACTGAAAAAATAATTACTAACCTCATCATAATGCAAATATTTTATTCTGCATAATTAGTTAAAGAAGCTGGAAACTGATCATTCGGAAGAAATCAATACTGCAAAACAAGAAATAATTAAATTAAAAACTAAAATTGTTTCTACTAATAAATCTATGGAGACGTTTAAAAATATTATCAAATCCTACAGACAAAAGTTATCAGATGTTGCATCAGAAATTCATAAAGTTAGTGTTTTAAAGTTATATTTACTTTAATTCTGGTTACTGTATTCAAACATTCGCATCCAACTTTTAGGTAAAGGTATTGGCTAGACGATATAAACACCAAAGTGAAGAGTTGAATAATACATTAAGTACAGAAAGAAGCGCATGGCAGACTAAATTTGATGAACTACAACAAGGAGGAAGTAAAATAACTTTAGACCTTGATGAGCGCAAAAAACTAATAGAACAAGGGAAACAAGAACAAAAAGCTGAATGTGAATCCATCATAAATGAACATAAAGCTAAAGTAAGTATTTATTATTTTGCTTCAGTATGATTTACAAAATAACATAGTTTTAAATAATAAATTATTTAATATACATTATAATTTTTTTGAATAGAAATAAAATTAGGTTAATATTAATTAATAATTATATTAATTATTAATTAATCTTTCTGAAAAGGTTTAACATGCTATACATTTTATAGAGATTATTATCCTGAAAATGTTAATGTATGTGCCAGGATGGTATACGATTTTACCGATATTTTGTATGAGACAGTTCTAAGGTACAGAAAAAAAAAATAAATATAATTTGTATGATATCTAAAGATTTATAAAACATGTAAGAGTTTTTTGAGAGGGGTTGGTGTGGATGTTAACCTGTCGTTTGTATACATTTGTTTTGTAATACGATTGCACAAACACTTACATGTTACTTTTTTTATTATTATTAATATTGCTCTTTTTACCCTTTAATAAAAAGTATAATATATATTATGTTCTATTAAAAGTTTGTCAAACAAAAATAAATTTATTTATTCACTTTTTTAAGTTATATTTTTATCATTACTGTAGGATACGCATGTACTCACGCACCAGTACTCTCGACTCTGTTTAGGAACAACAAATAGCGCTATAATTTTTTTTTTATAAATATTTGTTAACATGTCATTTGAAGTTATTCATAGTATCAGATGAGTTAAAAAAACATTTTAAACGACTGACCCTCAAAATGTTATATGTGTGCTTACATGTGCAACAATGACAGGTTAAGGAAAAAGGAAGTACTGAGTTATGTTATAGTAATAGAGGATATACTCAAAAGGAAAGTAACCGAACAGGTGTGCACCAGGGTTTAGCTTTGAGCTGTTACGGTTAGTCATAGACTAGATTACAAAAGATATATAGAGTAACGTGCCATTATGTTTTGTAGATGATTTAGTGTTAAAAATCCCAGTAGAAGCAAATAAGACTGGAAGAGTGAAGGTTAGGTTAAGCAGTGGCTTTAAAAAAAATGACTAAATTTTTAGTTAGAGTACAATAAGGACAACTGTATAAAAGTGTTCAGGAAGATATTAAGGAATTGATAGGGGGAGGTGTGTTGCTTGTTATGAAGATGAAGGATTTTATATTGTGCGAGGATAGAAGTGATAAATCGTCCTCTATGGGAGTGTGATTATTGACTGAACCCATAAAGTTGGCAGTGGGTGATGAGAAAAAATATGGATATTTTATTGAAAATATTGTATACATATTTTAATACTAGACCAATTGTTAGTATATATTATAGAATATAAAAATGAATGTTTTGTAATTGGCACTGGCAATCGCATCACCTGGAATGGTAGCATTTTTTTTGAATTGTCGCCATATGCTCATTCTACTCTGAAATTTTCATTGAATATGCGAACCACTGAAATACCACCATCATGCATTACCAACATTAACTCTAGAATAGGTCTCTACTACAGTTACAAATTGACTACTAAAAAGCATTGGAAATACTTGATCGTACACTAAAAGATTTGAGATAAAATTAACTGCTGTTGATTTTTGACAAACATATACCAGTTATACTATGTTCAACACCCGCTGATGAATTTAACGCATGTCTAAAATCATTGGTTTAATGGTGACGCTTACAGAAAATTACTGAAGAGTAAAACACGTGTACAACCACAACATGAACATTTTTCAAAAAAAAATTGTTGGATATTGGGAATGACAAAACAGCAATGACTGAATCCACAGAATGTAACACATTGAAAATAAAATTATGTACAATCATATCAACCATAAACAAATTGTTTCACAGAATTGCAAAAATTATCAGTAAATCAGTTTACATGATATATAGTATCCTAAAACAACAATGTCAATGCCATCAATTTCAGTGTTTAAAACAAAATAATAGGCAAAGCGACAGTGTGTTAATCATTGATACTGTAATAAATCAAGACAAAGTTGTCAACTATCCAACTGAATATTTGAATTCACTATGTTTTCCAGGCATGTCATCGCATGTCTTAACATGGAAAATTGGCATACCTATCATTCTTCTTCAGAGCATCAATACATCACAATTTTACAAAAATTTGTTAGAAGAAAATGATTAAAAACAAATTAAACATTGTTTTAACAAGTTTTCTTTAAATTAAATTTCTAATGGTTGGTATAGCAACAACGAAACGAGTACAGGGTACAGTTAATAATAATAATGTAAAATAAAATAATAACGTAGGTATATGTAAATATCTAATTTTAACTTAAGTTCAATAATTGATATTAAACTTTCAATGGTGTTCATTTAATCTATGTATAGTGTATACAATATGTACTGTAAACTCTCGGATTATTAGCGGAATAGGGTGGCACAACTCCACGAGTTTACTATACTGAAATCTAGCAATATTGAAACATTGCCAGGTCAGCCAGTTCATTATTTTAATTTATAATAATTTAAAATTCAGACAATATATTATATTTTATAGATGAAAAATGATATTTATATGTGTAAAAAAATGCAAGTTAAGATTTATTTAGTATAATTTCAGCAACAGTTGATACCTTATTTTTATGTATATTTTTAAATTTGGCTGCCTATCCAGTATTAAATTTAAACTGATTGTGTAATTCTACATTGATTTATACATATTCTTATAGGTTCTAGAAGCTGAAGCTGGCTTAAATGCTGCAAGATCTGAGGTAAAAGATACAAAAGCTAAAAGTGAAGATAAAGAATTGCGTGCTAAACAGCTTTTACAACATGTTAGAAGTAGGATTCAAAATCTTACTAGAGAACTTGATATAACCAAAAAACAACGTGATGGCTTAATCGCCCGATTAGATCAAGCAGAAATTGGTAGGTGCCTTTATTACACTATACATTTATAATTATAATATAATATTTGTAACTAGAGGTTAGCCTAAGTTAATTTGTATTTTTTTAAAGGGCTAAATAAAATAAATTTAAATAATAATTTTATGTTCTTTTTAGGTGGCCAAATGCAGGAATTTCAAGTTCAAATCTCTCGTTTAGAAGCGGAAAATCGCAAACTTACTTCAGAAAAAGAACAGATCACCGCAGAAAAAGATCGCTTGTCTCATGATATACAAATGTTAAATCATAGAGTTACAGCTTTGATGAGACAATTTTCAAATCAACAGGTATGTTATAGATATCGTATGCTATGATTAATTTTTAATATCACTATGTGAGTTTAGTGGCTAAAGTTTTAATTAACAACAGGATATTTATTAATTTTATATTTTGTAGTTTTGGCATTAAAAAAATGATTAAAATGTTGAATTAAATTCACATATTGAGTGTTGAATGCTTACCTAACGCAATCCTTTTTATCTAGGTAAAACCATCTACTAGTACCGGCCCTGATAAACTGGCCATTGAACCTCCTACAGCTAACATTAAACCCTTAGGACCTGCAGTTAATAAGCCACAAACGGTAAGTATGCTTAATATTATATTATAAAATATATTTTTTGTTTTAATTAAACAATACTAATGCATTAAACTTGCTAAAATTATTTTTAGGTACACCAGTCTGTTACAGTTAACCCATGGCGATCTGCAGCTGCAGAAACACCATTGGCTAGTATAAAGCCAATGACAATGCAACCTAGAAGTGTGGTAGTATTACCTACTAGTCAAACATCATCCACGTCAAGCCAAAGGTGCAATTTATTATAGTTACTAAAGTTCTCTTTTAATATAATAATTGTTATTAATATTTATTATTAAAATAATTTATATTTTACCATATTAGTTTGGTTATATTTATTTAGAAATTAAAAACTAAACATATTATGTAATACTTGTAGTTTACACATATTATAAAACCATTTTAATATTTCAGTTCAATGAGTGGAACTAGTAGTAGTACAACTATTACTGTTCATCCACAACAACCACAGTCTGTTGATATCAGTAGCAGTGGAGGGAATGCTTTAGACTCTTCAGAAGCTAATAGCACAGCACAAAGCCGTCATTTAACAAGCAGTACTTTAGTACAACACGTTGAAGTACATTGTTTATTTATACAATTCAATAACTTATATATATGTGTAAGTATGTATATATTATACATCTGATAATTTTGAATGTTTTAGGGTTCGGAATCAACACCAACAGTTTCTGATTCTAACGAAACTACTGTTGCTACTCCCCCATCAATCTTACCACTTCAACAGCTGATAGGAAGTGCAGCAGCTCCAAGCGTTACTGCTGCACAAGCAAGTCCCGCCATCAGTATAGCTCTGGTGGTACCGCAAGGCAGGGAACAAGTACAAACAACTGTGTCACAACCAACTACTGTATCTGTGTCAACAGTATCTCCTTCACAAAGTCAAATAGACAGGTGAAAGATATTTAACAATTAAAAAAAGGTATTTTGAATTTCATTTAATGTAATAATTTATTTTAGATACAGTGTGCAAAATGAAAATGGTCAGACAATGGAAAGTAGTAACAGTAATATTGCTAGTTCTTCAGCTCCAGGTCCTTCAACAGAATCAGAACCATCTGTTACCACAGCTTGTACTAGTGGACCTAGCTGTTCCTCTCTAGACACTACAACACACTCTAACAGTTCTCAAAGGAAACGAAAAGCTGATCTCCTTGTGACTTCATATGTAAATATTTGTTTTACTATTACATTAAAAGTAGTATTATGCTAATCAATGAATCCATTTGTTTAATAATTCAAAATACTGACAAAATAACAACATTATTAACATCTTACAATTTATCAATTGATAATCTTTGCTAAATGTACCATAGCTATTCTTAGGGAATCAATATTATTTTAAAATCCATTCCAAGTCAAAAATAATAATAGTAACAAAATGTTTTCTTTATAAAGAATTATCATTATTCATTCCACTGAATAACAATTATACATTTTAGTGCTAGGTTGCATGAACAATTATTAAAAATTTAACAATGGTCCCTTAAACATGATTTAGTGGCTCATGATTGGTCCATATAATTTTGTTAAACCATCAAATTTATCAATTTTTGCTGTAACCCGACATAAGTAATTTATAGTTAAACATTTTATGTTAATTGAGTATTTTATGTTGTATATTTGTCATACTGCTCACTACAAAATTTATTTTATATTTTAGATGAAAAGATCTAAATCTTTTATGCCTAGAGAAGAAAACCGTAGAGAAATGGAGTATGAAGCACCAACATCTTCTCAAAGGGATTCAGAAGTTAGCAATTCATATATTGGTCCAGAGAGTAATCCACAAGATAATAATAAAGTATGTGCACTCCTAACATTTTGATAATTAACTAGTCTTATAGTAATGAAAGAATAAAAATGACACTCGGACTAACGAAAGATGGATTAAATTAAATATATAATATATTATATTATATTGATTAATATTTATTAATATGTAAGTGAAAATAGTGAAAATATTTATATACCTGTACAATTTATTATTTAATAAAATAAAATTGAAAATATATGAAGGGTTACAGGAAAAAACGATCATAGTCAAAAGAAAGAAAAAATAAAATAATTATAGTACCTTTTGGTAAGTAAGAAAAAAGATCACGAACAATGATATAATACAGGTTTAAATATTACCATAACGGGGAAAATGACCAGAGTCCCACTTTAAAACTGTAATACTGAACATTTTAGGAATATTGACTATTATTGTTTTTCCCATTAACCCATCATATGTATTTGCCAAACAGATACCTGGCATTTAGAATTTCAAATTCAATTAATATATTTAACTACTAGTAAGACAAGGATGTCACCCTCTTTATTTAATGTCTACGTTGAGCAAGCGATAATAGATATAAAACAAAAGGTAGAAATAGTAATAGGAGGTATCCTAATATCAATGATACGATTTGCAGATGATATAATTTTGCTCGCTGCATCTGAAAACAATTTACAAACAGCACTTATTGAAATAGATAATATATTTTAAAATTTAAAATTTAAAATTTAAAATAAATATAGAAAAAACAAAAACAATGGTGTGTAGTAAACAAAATGATTCAAACATTAATATATCCCAATAGGAAACAGAATAGAGCAAGTAAATCAATTTAAATATTTGGGAAGCATAATAAGTAATGATGGAAGATCAAAAAAAAAAGAAATAAAAAGTAGAATAGGGCAAGCAAAAAAGGTATTCCTACTTAAGATTAAACTACTAACATCAAAAAATGTAGATCCAAGAACAAGAAAATGATGAATTAAAACATATGTATGGAGTACAGAATTGTATGGCAGTGAAACATAGACGTTGAACAAAAAAGAGGAAACCATTCTAGAAATTTTTGAAATGTGGTTTTGGCGTAAAATGGAGAAAATAAAATGGACGGAAATGAAGGCAAACGAAGAAGTACTAGATTTAGTCAAAGAGGAAAGAACATTACTAAATAATTTAAGATCAAGGCGTTGGAATATGATAGGTCATACGCTGGGACACAACAAAGAACTCCATAGCATCATATTGGAAGGTATGGTTGAAGGGAAACGCGGAAGAGATAGGCCCAGAACATGTTATATAAGTCAAATAATCAAATATACAAGAGTTGATTCGTACAAACAACTCAAAGATAAAGCAAAAGACAGAGAATCATGGAGAGAATATTCGTTGTAGACCACTCTACGGATGGAATACTAAAAAAAAAATATAGTTTTACATTTAATACAATTTAATATCATGATTTGTTTATAATAAGATTACTATTTTATTTAACATACAACACCAATAGATTTTTGGGTTTTAAATTATAGTTAAAAATGAAATATTAATTATATTTTGCATTTTAATTGATGTTTGTAGGAAGTTGAAGCAAGTACGGATATGGAGGTGACAAGTGAGGCAGCAGATGAAAATAATGAAGTTGACCTAACAAGCCAAGGATGTACTGCTGACACCAATAATATGAATGAAACCAATGATATTCAAAATGAAGAAACCGAACAAAGTACTTTTTCAATTTTATTAAGTATTTACAGCGTATATTATTATATTCTTTGCTAACTACATTACATTTTTAAAGTCCCTCCCTGTTTAACAAGGTTTAAAATTCCTTTTATTACACCTGTTCTTTTTACTAATTACAGTTGCGACCATCCTACAGACTAGGCTTTCTTCAACAATATTTTTTTAAATAAACGCGATATCGAAATAAAAATTAAGGTATTGATATTTTGAATTTTCAATATCTCTATGACTAATAAACAAATTTTTTTTTTTAAATATATTAAACAAGTTTTTTGGCGTTAAAATCACTTAATTTCGGTAACCCAAGTACCCAATTACCGGCAGCCATTAATTAAAAACTAAAAATTAATTTAGATTAAAATGTATTCAATATTGTATGATATACTTTGGTTATTAATATAATATTATAAGATATAATATTATGATTATTGATATTTAAACTTCCAAAAAAAATTTGCGATATTCATATTGTTGAAGAAGCCTACTGCACATCGAATTATGTCCCTGGGTTATGCATACCACTATATAGTATCAGTGGCGTAATTACGGGGGGGGATTTGGGTGTCGTATCCCCCCCCTTGACCATTTTTTTTTTTTTTAATCGTCAAACACATTTATGTACCTACTAATTTTATTAATATATATTTCATAGATAATACAAAAATCACCTGAATCTCCATAATATTATACAAATATATAATCATCCATCAATATTATCATATACAGTGTGATCACGATTTTAGGTAAGTACCACTGAATATCACAGATGGATGACTTTGTATTGAAATGGAGTTTTCGGGAGGTTATAGGGAGCACTTAAATACATATTTTCAGACCAGTTTCAAATTTTTAGCTCACTCGGTACGCGCATGCCGCATGCGCAATATTACTTTTTTTTAAATGGCAACCCCAGTTTTTTCTGCAGATTCAGGAAGAGTATTTATTTTTGAACATTTATTGAACATTTATGCATAATTCGTGTTTAATGATATTTTCATTTATAACCAGTTGAAATAATAAAATAAGAGCCAAATAAATGTTTAATGGCGGACGGAAATCGGCCACAACCGACGCCTTAGTCCACTCAGCCACCCCCCCCCCCTAATCAAACATTTATTTGGCACTTATTTTATTATTTCAACTGGTTATAAATGCAAATTGCATTAAACACGTATTATGAATAAATCCAAAATTTGACTTTCTCTAACTTGGTCAGTTTTATAAATAGAAAAACTTTCAATACAAAAAATGTTTAAAAAAAAATACTCTACCCGAATCTGTAGAAAAAAAGTGGGGTTGCCATTTAACAAAAAGTAAGTCAAATTGCGCATGCGCATACCGAGTGAGCTAAAAATTTTAAACTGGTCTGAAAATATGTATTTAAGTGCTTCCTATCGGCTATCACCTCCCGAAAACCCCATTTCAATACAAAGTCAGCCATCTGAGATATTCAGTGGTACCTAAAATCGTGATCACACTGTATATACAATATTAGTTATTACTAGGGGCCGGAATTATATTCTTTTAAAATAGCCAAAATAAGATGCTAATATTCTCTTAAAAAGTTGAAAATATTCTTCCAATATTCTTTAAAAATAATAATAAAATATGCAAAAAAAAATGCTTTTTTTATTAAAATATTCTCTTGAACTAAAAATATGCATTTATATGCAAAATAATTAAGCAAATAATACGAACTCATATAAATAAATAGGTACATAATATGCAAAACAATATAAAAACCTGATATAAATAGGTACCTACATAATAAAAAATACTACTTGTTAAGAAAAGTTTGATTTAATATTTAATTATTTTAAATTTTTAACTAAGAAAATTTTTGAAAACAGTTGACAACTATATTTTGTTCCATGTTCCCTGATGTCATATTTGTACAACGGTCGGTTAAAATGTTTTTATATGTGCTATTTATATTATTTAGGCCACTGCAACAAAAAATATCGAACATCTACAAAAATTAATCGATATATTCTCTAATATTTTTTATTATACAAAATATTCTTTTATCTTGAAATATTCCCAAATATGCAAAATAAACTTTTGCCATTAACTCACCTGTTTCATGATTTGTAAAGATTTCGAACCCCCGTCTGACTGCATAGACTCAAAAAAAAATATGCAAAAGAATATAATTCCGGCTACTAGTTATTACATACAGATCATAATAGTTGTATTCTTGTATTGAGGGGTGCTTATTGCTTATAGCTTATGCCTTATACGATTAAAAAAAAAATGTTGAGGGGGGGGGGGTAATTGGTGAAATGTACATACATTTCATCCCCCCCCACAACCATGACCAAATTACGCCACTGTATAGTATTTATTATTCTTTAGTGCGTTTTATAGCAACTGCGACTAGACGGTAATGCGCTTCTTGGCGGTTTTGCCTCAAACCCGGGGTGTTCAAACTAGGATCGAAAAAATGTGTTAAATATTCGTTATCAAATTAAATTTGCCTCGCATTATTACGCTATAGTTTTAGAAACCCTAATGAAAAAACTCCACGAGGTGCATTAGCGTCGAGTCGGAGTTGCTATGAAACTCACTATAGCTACATTTGATTTAGTATTTACCTAGTTGAGCTTATTTCTGTAATTTATTTATTAACAGAACTACCATTTTGTATTTATGTATCTGTAATCAATATTTTGTACTATATTAGGGTTAAATGTAAAATAAATAGTAATAATAAATATAGTTTCATATTTTTTTAGTAACAGGAGAAAATACACCAGAACATTCATCAAATGCTGAAGCCACTGCTATGGCTATTGTTGAAGAAGACTCGCCAGAAATTATTCATTTTCAAGAATTTCAAAACACACCTGTTTCTTCGGCTGTAATAATTTGTTATTTCTTGACATAGCCTTGATTTTTGTTCTGATCAATAATTTTTGTTTTTAAAATAATATATATTTAGAGTTGTGAAGAGACTAAGAATACTGATAATGTAACTTCAGATGCAGAATCAAGACAGAATGAAAGTGATTCAACTCCAATTGAACCTCGAGCCGGTATGTACCATAATTTACCAACTAAGTTGATGATGAATTATTTTTATTTTATTGGAATATAAAAGTTTTTTCAATAAAAATAACATATCCCATTTAAATAACTAAATACTAAGTTGTTTTTTTATAAAGGACCCTCAAGCGATGCTTCGGACACAGTTGGAGTTTCTCAATCAACTGAAACTGCAGAAACAGACACACTTGATTTGGGTAATTTTTGGATTTTATTTTTATTTCATTTGACTTAAAGTAGATAAACTACTTTTATAAATATTTAAGTTTTTTTTAATAACTTTATAAATTGTTAAATTACTAATGAATCACAATGAATTATTAATTTACATTTAATTCCTAAAAAAAATACATATATCTTGAAATTAAAATTATAAATCAATTATTTAGAACAAGAAACAGTTGAAATTTTATCATCTGAAAATGAAGAAGACACCATTGAAATCAAATCAATTCATGGTACTAACATCTAAATGTATACTTTGTTAAAAAAAATTGAATTAATTGGTTATTTTATTATTCAGATATTGATGAAACTCAAAATGATAATATACCTGATCAAGATCATGATCAGGAAACAATTTCAGTGTCCTCTTCGCCCAGCAAAGATAATGAAGCTGTCCGTGAGGAATCTCCTGTCGCTGGACCAAGTGGTGTGACTAGTGATTCATCAGCAAATGAACGCAAGCCTATAACATGGAATGAATCACCGTGAAAAGCTAAAAACATTAATTAAAAGTTATCATAAATGTTTATTGGCTTGTCATACATTTAATGTGCATTTTAACAAATTGTATAACTATTTTTTTTTTAATAGTTCATTTTATATTTAGCAATAACAAAATAAATATGTATACCTAATTTAATTAAATTTATAATTAAAAAAAGGTGCTCTGCTGTACAGTAGGTTACAAGTAGGTCACTATACAATGGATAGTATTAAATTTGAGTTCAATGATATAATATCATTGTATAAGAAAAACGATTCTGAGCGGAGACGGTATTTTAGTCTAGGTATAAGACATATTATATACCTATCTATCGTATTAAAAAAAAATTACCTAAAAAAGGTACCTATAATAAATTCCAAATTAATCATATCAGTATATCACAATATCCATTAGATACTTATAATGCGTTATACGTTAACAACAAACCCTGATACTATCATAGCCCATACTCCTTAGATATATAATAGTGTACTTTAGTTTCAAGTACCCACGAATAATATTACACAATCACAATAAAATAACTAAAATAGTTATTCTTGGTTTTTTTTTATGTAATTTTGTCCAAAGTTGATCTTAAAATGACTATAAAAATAAACTGTGCTTATGTATTTTTTAGATTTTTTGGTAACAGAATTAACTACTGACGTGCAATCTTGTTTAAAATTTTCAATCCTTTGATATAAAAGTTGAACATTTTATACATTTTTAACTACAAAATAATTATTCAATTTTAAATTTTATAAATTTTGTCAAAATTCGATCTTTAAATGCTTATAAAAAAAAATGTGCCTATCTATTTTTAATATTTTTCAACTGATATTGTAACAATGTATCAGGAGCCTTGTATTAAATGTTTACACTTTTTGGCCCAACAGATAAAACTTTATTGATATTTATAGAATAGAAAAATTGGAAACTAAAAATGTCCGTAAACAGCTCAAAAAGACTCAAAATATTTTCAAAATTGTATGGTGTATAGGAAATGCTAATATAACCATTCAGTCAAAATTTCATGTACCTACGGTCATTTGTTTAGGAGTTGCACCAAAACCAAAATCGATTTTCTCGAAAACAGATTTTGCGTACAAATTCCCGTTTTTCCTTAATTTTTCTTTTGTTTTTCACGGCGCCTTTGAAAGCTACTAGGAAATTCACTTTCCTATCAAAAAAGATACTGTTAAAGAAGGCATTTTTACTGTCCTAAAACGTTATGACAGACACAAAAAAAAAAAAAAAATACACACATCATTACAAATCAATACATTCATCGTTTCACTCAGAATCTAAAATGTTACTGCAAATCGTATTTTACTTTTACTTTTATGATTATCCCTATTTTATCTACCCAAAGTATATTAAAATAAGTATTGTTTTTATCTTTTTTTAATCATGAATACAGTAAAGAAGCTATTATAGCTTATTCACTCATTAATTACTTCTTGATTATATGTATATTTGTTCTACAACCTACATCATTGACTGTAAGTATTTAAAAATTATTACCTGATACTTAAAATGTCGTAAAATCATATCCTGCTGTGCTTGAAAAGCATACCTATTTACATATTTGTTTGGAAAGCACATATTGAATAATTATGTTTTATAATTTCTTTATTCAATAATGAACAGTGGTGAATTGGTAAATATATTTATGGGTTTACGCACCAATAAAATATGTATGTAACCTAAACGATCAAATTATATCATCGTATATATTATATAACGTTATTGCAGTTCAATTAGTACATAGTTTTTAACATTATTTTATCAATTTTTTTATAATGTAACAATAAAAAATAAAACAAAATCAACTCAAATGTCAAAAAAATTAAAATAATAATAACATTATTATTATAGGTACAATCTATAGAATTTTCCACAAAGATTTTTTGTATTTAATATTGGGTTTACTAAATTGAACTTAAAGCCTTAAAATACATTAAACATAACACATATTGTTATACAACTTATATTCAATACCTACTTCAATTGATAAATAATTCATTAATACATAATAACGAATAACGTTTTTTTCCTATATGAACTATTAAATAAATTTTAAATCTTATTTGGTTTTCTGGTTATTTTGGAAACGTATACCCGTAAAATATTTTACATTGGGTATACGTTTCCAAAATAAACCGAAAATCTTCTGATGGGTATACGGCGTATACCCGCGTACCCGTACCAATACACCACTGATAATGAATGTGATCCGTCTGATTTAAAATTTGTGCCCTGCATACATAAGTGGCATCATGACACCTTAATAACTACTGCCTAATTAAATATCTAGAAAAATGAAATAGTTAAATTACTAATGGATTATTTTACTTGTAATGGGGGAGCTGCCAAGCTGGTCTATCTATTATTTATTATTTTGCCATGATCCCTACAATAAATCTTAAGCTTAACCAAAAAAAATATTTTTTAATGTGAATGATTATATTTATGCCTTAAATAGTGGGCAATGAAGGGTAAATTACAGTATAATATACCTATCACTTGAATTGATTTTTTTTAAATATCATTGGCATGGTCAAATAGTTGCATATTTTAAGTTCTTAGGTTCAGAGTATACAAATGATTGATACATTAAATAAAATATTACTATTTGAAATTAGTTTGCTTAATTGACAACATATCAACATCTAATCAATAGATCAATTCATCCCATACTTGCTCTTGCATATCCGTTTACTCTAAGAAAAAAAACTGGACTAGTAATTTTGGTGAGAAAAAACTAAAACATTGTACATACTTACATTATAGATGGATGGAAAAACATTTTAAATTTGTTTAGTTTGTTATAGTAGTTATAGCTAATTTAAATTAGTATTTTTATGATATTATAAAATATACACCATTGTCACGAATTACGATATATATAGGTATCTATTTATGTATATCTTTTTTTTTTTTATATTTTACAAATGTACATACACAATCTATACAATTTGCACAATAAGCGTATAGGATAAGAGTTAAAAAAAATATAAACATGGATTGCTTGAATAAGAAGCCACCCATTAGTGACACTTACTTACTTGATGTTATATTTATAGGGTAATTGCGGGATATTTAATTTAAGTGGTCACGACACAATTTCCTTTTGAGTCTACGTGGTGGATTTCCAGGGAGTGAGAAGGTATGTAGCTCTTTTTATTAATGGGTTAGGGTGATTTTCAAGTCTGTCGAAAAAACGTTTGTAAAATAGTTTCGCTGCAGTTACAACAGGTAGAATACCTAGATCTTGGTGAAGAGTTAAATTAGAGACGTAGAAGGGAGCGTTAGCGATTTTTCCAAGGGTAATATTCTGAAAGACTTGAATTTTGTTTAAATTTGATTTTTTGGCCGATCCCCAGAGTTGTAACTCGTATGTCCATATTGGCTTAAGGAGAGTTTTGTATACCAGTAGTTTTGTTTTTAAGCTCGTAAATTTCTTTTTTGACAATATTGTTTTTAGATATCTAGATCGAGCGTTAAGGATCAATCTTTTGTATATGTATATCTTAATTTTTTTTTTTTTCATTATTAATGAGATTTTAACATTAAATTATAATATAAGTATATCTTAATTCTTAATTCGTGACCATTAAATTCATAATAAATGTTTATATGGACCGCGGTGCGTGGGAGACATCAATATATCTTGGCATGAATGACGAACTTTATTTTACTCCATGATCAGTCAAAAGTGTTTCAATCTTGTTACCTACCAACATATCGTTCTGTGCTACCACGTTACCACCGTCGAATTCGGTAAACACTCCCCTCCCATCATGCGAGGTCCAACCTAACCTATTATGCGTTAACATTACTCGTTAGCGCGATATTCGTAATCGTAAACACATAAACATTAAACACAATTTTCCGTTGCCGACGCTGTATGAATCCGACCCAGACGCTGTAATATTTCGTCCAACGTCCAATTCCATTGAAAGAATTACTCCAAGTAAGTACTCACATCGACAATAATTAACCGCGTTTCGTGTTCGACATCGAGATTGACTTCGATCGGCGATGGAAATTCAGATTTACACGTGCAGGATCGTGCCAGCGAAACGCACGTGTCCATGGCCAAACGATATTTTGCCGGTTTAACTTTTCGTCGCGATGTCTGTCGTACGGACACGAGGGGTCCAAATTTCGTTGGCCTGGGCGCTGGTCGCTCACCGATCACACGACACGTGCTGGATAAGCGGGCGTGTCGTGCCGGTGGTCGTTGTTGTTGTGTTCGATATCGATTGCGACTGCTGCCGACTTGAGGTTTCTTCTCGTGACATTTGGCACGGATTTCGTCAAAAGTAGTTGGTTAACCCTTTGGCTATGACCTGTGGGAAAACTCCGACGTCGTATGACACGAGGTCTAAGGGGGTTTTTTTACCACCGAACCCTGTGTGCAGACAAAAAACGGCATTGTCGAGCAAAATCTTTGTTTAGAATCGGAATTAATATGTGTGAATACTCGATGTCTACTTGTATTTTTAATTGTTTCAACAGTCCGTATTACCCTAGTATCGCAGTAAATCAGTAAATAATATAATATTTGTGTTACATTTTAGAATGGACGACCAGAGCATCACGTTAGATGTTAACCCTAAAGCATATCCTTTGGCCGACCAACAGATGACCACAAAAATTTTGAACTTGGTTCAACAAGCAATGAACTATAAACAACTACGTAAAGGAGCAAATGAAGGTTAATATTTTCATAAGTGGGTATTTGATAATATGCTAAGTGTCCGTATTATAATTTTCAGCCACTAAAACATTAAACAGAGGTATTTCTGAATTCATCGTCTGTGCTGCAGATGCAGAACCTCTAGAAATTTTATTACACTTGCCATTGTTATGTGAAGACAAAAATGTGCCATATGTTTTTATTAGATCAAAACAAGGTTTGTATTGAGAATTAATCATGTATTTATCACATTCACAAATATTTTTACTTTTTACAGCTTTAGGCCGAGCATGCGGTGTTTCAAGGCCAGTCATAGCGTGTTCTATTACCACTGATGAAGGTTCACAATTACGGCCACAAATACAACAAGTTCAGACTGAAATTGAAAGACTATTGGTTTAATTTTGTACACGTTTTTACATTTATAATACTGAATTGGAAATAATAATAATAATACTACATCATTCAAACATTTAAAGTATGTTATTATTTTGTAATAATTACATTTATTAATATGATATATTAATTAAATACATTTCCTTCTAGTAGATTTCAATGAAATTTCACCTTACATAATGTTATTTTACAAAAATTAAATTATAATAATAACGTACATTATACAATTAATGATCCTTTCCTGATTCATGATCATGTTATATAATATCACATATTAAATTGCATTAAGTTTTCAAATCACTTTTGTGATCAGTTAATGTTTCTAAATTGTAACATTAATAAACACCATAATCAACATAAAATTACAATAATTGTCTTTAATTAACTAATGGAAAAATAATATTGTTCCAATTGGTGTTTACTGTTTAATACCAATGTTATAATTTAGTCATGTATGATGGTATAATGGACCAAATCCTATAATAATGGATATTAGTTAATGAGTTGTGAGTGTTATATAAAACCATGCAAACCGTATAATATACTATTTAGTATTAAGAATAATATGCAGTGGTGCAATTGCAACTGTTATAATTATGTGGCAGATGCAAAGCTATGCTCTAGCCCCTGTTGAAACTGAACTTCAATCCTATTAAACGGTTGTACGCAAATAAATATAGTATAGTTAAACTATGCATCAGTTGTCATGATTACTATTCACTGTTCATTTCTTACGGTGTAAAGATAAATATTTAAAAAAAAAAAATCGATTAATGTATTTTATATTAATTTTTTCATTACCTGAAAATATTTTTTAAACTAGACTGACATAATATTATCAATGTGCGATTAGCTATATAATTATGTTTAGTAGTTCACTCTGTATTATATAAAAAAATTAAAACCTAACTCAAACATTGTAGTTTGGTCAGGATTTTAAAGTCCAACAAAAGTATTATCAAGCTAATAGTCACTAATGGGAGGAACCCATAAGTGGTATGAATCTTCATTAAATTGAGCTCAAACAGTTATCCTAAAACATAAGTATATAATAATATAGTTTATCATACTAACTTATTGTTTAATATTTCAACAATACAGAAGCTCTGTTGAATTGTGATCAATATGCTGGGATTTTGAAGCCCTACAAATTCCTAAAAAAAAAATGCAAAATTGACTTAAGAAACTAAAAATGAATTTAAAATGTATTCACTATAGTTTAAAAAAGGATAAAATGTTACTATAGTGTATTTTTTGATAAAATTGTTATCGATGATAACTTGTATGTATGTATGGTGTAATAATAACAACAAAACAAAATAGGTATATAATGGTGACAATTTAAGCAGAAAAGCCTAGCTATGATTAAATTATATATACTATTAAATTTATTATTTATACCGTCAGCAATTTATCAAAGTCTTGTTAATCACAAAAACGTTTGTTAATTTTCTGAACAAATTGTGAAAAATCCTCTAAAAACTAAGAAAATGCATTTAAGGTTAATTTTGTAAAAAAAATGCAAAAACCAAAATTACTTTTAAATAATCAGTGTCACTCAAAACAAATTTTATACCTACGGACCAACAGAAAGAAGTATGCGTTTGCATCAAAATCCCAGCCCTAGTGATGAATAACAAGACGTTCTGTTCAAACAATCGCTAATTTTAAACATTGAAAAATGTGTACCAAACAACCAGCTAGTCTCCAAACTCCAAAGATCATAGACCATAGTATAAAACATATCTTTGAATTGAATATTTATATTATGTTGTAGAAATAATGGCCTATAATGTTTAATGTTTATTAACCGTAGATAGTTATAAATGTATAATTATTAATACTTACATGATTATGTATTAATTTGTTTACAAGCTCATAACATTTCTTATAAGTTATAAGTGTCATAACAAGATCATAACCGACTATGTCACATTTTGAACCTAGGCCTATCTCAGAATCCATTTGTTAATGTTAGAAATTATTAAAAACAATATTTCTTATTTAATTCATACATATATATATTTATTTTTACATTAATAATATTCAAAAATAATTTTTTTACAACTATTGTCTATTTTGCTTTTGAGTCTAAATAATTCAGGAGTTTTTCTTCACGGACTTTTTTCTTTTCTTCTCTAACTTTCTTCTTCTCTTCTTTTTCTCTCTTGACCAGCATTTCTTTAAATCTGTCATCTTTTGGATCTATCTTATAACCAAAATGTTTTTTCACTTCTTCAATGAGTCTTTCTTTCTTTTCTTTAGCTTGTTGTGCGTCGAGCAATTTTTTTGCAGACTTTTCTTTGACTTCTTTTAACCAACCGTTTAATTTCTTCATATTGTTATCAATTCTTTGCTGATTCGTTTGAATTTCTTGACGTTCACTTTCTATAAGCTCCAATGCATTTTTTTGCATCTCTTGAATGGTCAACGGATAGGCTATACTTTCATACTCTCTTATATCCTCCAAGTCTTCGGCTGTTGGCCATGCCAAGCCCGGCGAAACATTACTGGCATCACCATACCGGCCATACATTTTTCTTTTGTATTTTACTGTGTTGTGGTATCTATGCACCGGCTTGTCATAAGGTACACGACCATTCACCATATTTCGATGTCCATGGTTCAAGCGAGATTTGTCACATATTGCTTTCACTTCCTCTTCCGACAAACTTTTCTCCGCGGTGGTTGCGACAACATCAACGTTTTGTACTTCATTTTTAATCGATGCATTCCGTGCTAAAAAACACTGAACAATCGGGACTTTAACAAATTTACCAACATAACTAAATCCTTTAAACGATATGATTGACATTATAAATAATAAACTACGATTTAAGATTCACCTGCCGGCTAGTGGCTACCTTAAATTAATAATATGTTGTAGACTTAAATCTTGAATCGTGCTTGAAATATTATATTTTCACGTTCTGCCGCATGACTTTTCGTGATAGTTATCATTATTGATAAGTGCCCTGAGCCCGTGATAAGTGCTAATGATACCGTGATATTATGATAATATACAACCATTTCCCGCATAAATTTAAACAACATTATTTTACACTAATATTATAATTATTATTTAATGTACACAAGGCCGGATTAAGGGGGGGCGGGTCTAGCCGGGGTGAAATCATTAGACTTAAATGAAGTATTAAGAGAGTTGGCTTCAAGAACGCAAGAAAAAAAATGTATTTGATAAAATGGTTTTTGTTTGATAAATTTTGTTGTAAATGAGTATACTGTTAATAAATTTAAAAGTTATTGTAAAAATTTGAATTTAAATTAACGAAATATGAAGTATTAACTTTTATTATACTACCATAAAATGAGTAGTTTTATAGACATAAATTACATTTACCTATTCATTTTATAATCTTATAATTTTATAATGCATTATGCAATTGTCAATTTGTGAAATAGTTAGAAAAATGTATGTTCTTGCGAGCGTAGTAAGCGGCTTTGGAAAGCATGTTTTGTCAAAATTGCCCATATGAAATTTCAGCCCCGGGACCCAATAGGTTCTCAATCCAGCCTTGATTGTACACAATCATAGAGCCTAAAATAATAAGATGTGTTACTATTAATTATTCAATTACGAAATTCAAAAGTTATTTTTTTTAAACTGTCCTGTTTAGTTATTCGACCAAATTGAAGTGGAGATAAATTGCTAATCAAAACATTTATTAGTGAACATAAGCACATAACCATATCTACAGTAAGGTGAAATGCTAACAATATAAAACTAGAAATTCTAAATAAACCTAAAGAATATAAAAAAAATTATTAGGCAAGTATAATTACTATCCCAAGTAAAGAAGGCTACATACCGACTCTAAAATTATGGTATCAAAATTGGTGACAATGAAAATTAACAAAAAAATTGTAGCATTAAAATATATTCATAAAATCATAACACAAAAGAATATCTCTTATTCAGTCTTCTCACCCCTTCCTTTCTCCCTAAATTTACTTCTATAGCCTCCCTCACTACCTCTTATCATACAGTGACCAAACCACCTCAACCTATTCTCTTTTGTTTTAATGACAATATATGCCAGTATGCCACTCCTACACTACCCCTATGAAAGCTTAATTTATTATTCTATCCTCATTTGTGCCATACACACCAAACTTAACATTCTCATATCTGCTACACACACTACACATATCTACTCTAACCTTACATCTCTTTTTATCTTTCCCTTTCATACACTTCCTATATTCACTCAGTCTCTAATTACCTACAAGTCATCGTACTTGATTATTGGTGAAAATATTTAAACATCATTGAGGGAATTACCTCCTCAGAAAAATTACTTGAAAAAATATCATACCTGTCCAACTTCCTAATTTTTATCACGACTTTATTGATAGCCGGAATTTACCAGTAGTTACAAATTACAATACAAATAATAGAAAAGTGGCGAGCAATACATCGACTGATCAACTAACAAAAATAAAAAGAAACCTACTGAAAAATAAAAAAATACATACCCTGGGTCTGAATCAAAATCTGCTATCAAACTTAGATTTTCAAACACTGCAACTTTCACACATTTCATTCTGCTTATGATATTTTATACCCAGTTGGCAAATCTTGACTGACGAGTGACGAATACCATCTCTGAAATAACACGCAGCCCGTAGTAAATCGTTCAACAATATTCTTATGACCTAAGCGTGACAGATATTGTATTTTATATGTATAATGTTTAATTTGTATTATACCTACCTACCTAACTATTATATGTGATAGTGGTTAGCTTGTATTTTAGAGCGGACTAGGGGAGAATGTTTTGATTTTACAATGATGTGTATAATTCTCGTATAACGGTTTTCTAATTTTTTTGTTATTCAAAAACTATTAACCGTAGGTATTTAAAATGTTTAAGGTTTAAGCTATCATTTTCTGAACATTATAAAATGTTCAAAATATCTCGACTCGTTTTAGGTGATTTATAGACATTTGAATTATGAAATGTTTTTAGTTCTGTATTCTATAAATGTCAATAAAATTGTATTCGTTGGGTCCAAACTCTTAAAAATAATACAAAGTTCCTGGTAAGTTGATATAATAGGAGTTAAAAAATATTAGAATAAATATAGGCACGTTTTTTTATAGGCATTTAAAGTTCAAATTTATACAACATTTGTCATTATCTCGACAATTTGCAAAATATTTTGTAGTCACACTAACGATAAAAAGAAGTCGAGTATATCAGGGTGTCTGTTATGTTGTTAGGGCCAGTAAGTGGGGCCTTTTGGACTTATGAATATGTAAGGTGTGTTTTTGGTTATTTTTTGGAGAATTTTGCTTCTTTGGTTTTCTGAAATGCAGCTCCATTGTGAGTGTTTAGAGTTAAAATCACCACCCACTAAGAATTGTGGACCGAGTGATTTTAAAAATTGATTTAGTTGTCTTGAGGATATGGCTGGGTGAAGAGGAAGGTAAACTTAAAAGATTTTTGTAGGGACGTGATTTAATGTTATCTGAATAGTTGTCGATTGGATGGTAGGAAGCTGAACACTTGGAAGTAGGTGATGTTGTATTTTAGAAGATATTATTATAGCCATCCCAGCGTGGGCTGTTTTATCGGGGTGATCGGTTCTGAAAATTTTGAAACCTGGGAAGAAGAGTTTGGTATTTGGTTTGCAGTGGGTTTCTGTTACGAGTGCTATGTCTATTTGTTTTTCCAATAATAAATTCAGTAATGCGGTTTCATGTTGTTTTAAGCCGTTTGCATTCCTTAGTAATGATTTCAGTATGTTTAAATTTGATTTTTTAGTTGACGTTAATTATAAGTTTATTTATTACTGTCTGATGAACATTAAAATCTGTTACTAACACATTTAGAGGAGAATAATTACAGTTTTCATTCTTATATCAGCCCGACGTTGTACGCCCGTTACGAGTAGTAATAAGAAATCTCCACCCAACCACTGCACACGAAGATATTATTGCCGGCCTTTTAGAGTTGGGTCATCACGTCACCAACATACACAACATAAAGTAATTATCGAACAAAACACCCTTGCCCCTTTTCTTCGTTGAAATTCAAAAAGCCACCAAAAACTCTGACATATTTAAGGTTAAGTTCCTTCTTAACTCAGCAATCGTTGTCATAAAACCACACCCGCCAAAGAGCCCTCCACAAAGCTATACGTGCTAGTCTTCCGGACATACCCGGAGATACTGTTTCCATGATCCATGATGTGTGAAATGTGGGGAAAATCACACCTCGGATTCCTGTACCAAGCCACGAATTCTCCAGCCAGATATGCTTAATGCAATGGCAGCCACACCGCCAATTACAAATGCTGCCCCGATTATAGAAAAACTTAAACGTCCTAAACCCCCTATCAGGCAAGATACACCCATACCTACCCCTTCTCCTAAAAACAATTTACCAGATCCTCTTTTGTTACTAATCAACCGTCTTATGCTTGTATCACGTCTTCCGGTTAAATTCATTATAAACTTTCTTCAAGTATTGAAACTTTGTTAACCTCTTTTATCTCCGAATTTGAAAATATCATAAAACCCTTCAGTTATCTTCTTACTTCACTATTAAGTAAGTCCCAAGTATAAACAATTTAAATACATCTACTCGAGTTAATCACGCTATACCACATTGTTAATAATCTGTTAATTATCTGTCTATTCATTTTCTCTAATACTTGTTTTATTTTATATACTTATGTTTATACATGGAAATTATTGTCATTGTATGTCCAAACTATCAATTGTAAGTAGGTAATGCTATTATTATTATTATTATTATTACAAAACTGAATTTATACATAAAATACACAGGATACAACCACCACATTGTAAACATAGTAACTTTTAAACAAGTTAAACTTTATTCAATGAATACATTTTTAATATTATGTACTAGGTGATTCTTAAGTTTATGACAATATTTGTTTACATGATTTAAAATTATTGCTCATTACAAAACATTGAAACAATACAATAAACTTATAGCTAATTTTTATTTAGTGATTAATAATAAAATCTAGATAAATTTTTATAATAACAAACTTGAATAGGTATGTTATTTGTTATACCTATATGAGTTATTTACTCGTAGATGACGAGTTGTAGTAGAAGTATGTTTAAAGTAATTTATTTATATTCATAGTGTAAATCAACTAAATTGTTTAACAATAATTATTCATCCATGTTTCTTATATAGTTGATTAAAACCGATACAATTGAATAGGATTCACTCATTGTCTGTAATAAAAAAAAAAATAATCAGAATTATTAATTATTTTTCAAAATCTTCGTATTTATTTTTCTCGTAATTTTTAATGGACCATAAGAACTTGATAATGTTGGAGAATATTATATTTGTATACATATTACGGTAAATGATGTAAAACATGAAAATTAGGTAATTAACCGGTAATAATTATCGTAAATATATATACAAAATGGAGATTTTCGATATTCATCGGTTAATTGCGATATTCACCAAACAAATTGGTAAATGTTATGTTTAATACTAAAATTCGACTATAATCTATAACACAACTTTTATGTTTTTCTACTTCACAGTTTTACATTAGGTAGATTTCTAATATCTATAAATATGTGTTAAGATATCTGATAATCATTACCTAAAGATTAAAGGTAAGTAATCGATTATCAAGTCCAGTTTTAGGAGGGGTATCGAATATTCTAGAACGTGCAATATCGATCGTAATGACCGGCGACAATTTCCGATAACGTTTTGACGGCCCATTACGTCTTCCTGACAAATACATAGATACCCGACACTAGGTTTAAGAATAAGGCCTCGGTCACACGAACGTTTTACTGACGTACGTTACGACGGACGTCATAACGTCCGTTGTTGAATTATGTGATTACTTAGCAATACGGTCACACACTTGACGTCCGTCGGATTTACCGTCCGATCGACGTCGACGACGTCCGATGCATGCTGCGACGGACGTAAATAGCGCTTATCGGACGTCGTAGTTTATTATTAGATATTATCGACTCGGTCACATGAACGCTGTTTTGACGCGCGTTAATCGTAGAAATCGTGAAAATCGTTCAATAATTATTGCAATTATTGCTGAATTTCGTCTGTTATATAGTTTAAAAATGGATGTAGAATTATTAATAACAGAAATAGAAAAACGGCCAGTTTTATGGGATGTAAGTGACGACTTGTATAAAGATAGGAATAAGAAAAATGATGGATGGATGGAAGTTGCAACTATTATATTTGAACATTTTAGTGAAAAAACTCAAACAGAACAAAAAATAATTAGTAAGTATCAACTGATTTCTTATTTATTTATTTTAATATGATATTATTAATATTAAGTATATTAATTAAGTATTAATTAAGTATATTACTATTAACTATAAAAATAAACATAGGTACTTATATAATATTTTAAATTTTTTCATTCTGCCATGCCACTTGTCCTAATTCACTACTGAAATAATTTGCTAGTGCATCCCGATACCTGTTAATAGATCTATTTACGTTGAAGTTAGTATCTAGTTCGATGTCTTCCATACCAGTCACTGTTAGAGAATCTTCAAAATCATATCCATCACGTGCGCGAACGAAATTGTGCAAAACGCAACAACATTTTACAATATCAATTGCTAATTCTACATCAACATCTATTGGGCGGTGAAATATCCTCCATTTATTGGATAAAATTCCAAACGCACACTCTACATGGCGCCGTGCACGTGAAAGTCGATAATTAAAAATCCTTTTATTGACTGGTAAGCATTTTCCTGCATATGGTCTTAACATATTTGTTGACAACCCAAAGGCTTCGTCGCCCACAAATGCATATGGCATAGGTATCTGAATACCATGTATTAGATTAGGTTTTGGAACATTTAGAGAATTATTTTGTAGATGCTTATGTAAAGTTGAGTTTTTAAAAATTGTAGAGTCTGAGTCCTTTCCAAACGAACCGACATCAATAAACGTGAAACAATAATTAGAGTCAACCACCGCTAATAAAACCACAGAAAAAAAGTGTTTGTAGTTAAAATATTGAGACGCACTTCCACGTGGTTTGATGACTCTGATGTGTTTTCCATCAATAGCACCTATGCAATGAGGAAATTGTGCTCGTTGTTGATAACCTTCGGCGATGTTCAGCCATTTTTCTTCATTTGGTGTTGGTATACATTCATCGTGCATAACTTCCCATATTTGCAAACACACTGTCCGTATAATACCACATAAAGTCGATCTACCAATTCTAAATTCGTAGTGTAAATCTTGAAGACTGTTTGTACTACCCAGGTATCTGCAAATAGGATATGTGGATAAAAATATAAAATAACAAAAATAAATATATGCATACAAATAAAAAAACCACAAAATTAACCAAAAATGTAACAATTAAAAATTTTTACTTTATTCTAATTTAAATATTTCATAAACGTTAACTTTTTAATCCCAAAATATTCAACAAAAATATATAAATGTAATAAAATTAATACATCAAAATAATATTTTATATCCAGTCCTACCTATACAAATTATATATTTTTTTATTATGATGTACAAACTGATACCATGATACTAACCATGATATTGGGCAAAAATAAGAAATTTTAAAATAAATGACATATTACTTATTAAGTAGGTTTATAATTTTATTAATTAATATATATATATAAATATAGTATAAGTATGTAACATGTAGAATTCATTTTAATGGTGTATGGCATTTTCTCGAATTTTTACTTCAATGTGTGTTTGTATTTTATTAATATTAAAATAATTTTATTTAATAAACAAATGCCACTGGTATAATATACAATATACTGTGCAGCATAAAATTAAACCCTGCATTCTGAGCTGAGCGATGAATGTATTGATATTAATGATGTGTGTTTTTTTTTATATTTTTTTTTACATTTTTTTTTGTGTCTATCATCACGTTTTAGGACCGTAAAAATGCTTAGATTTTCTTCAACAGTATTTTGTCTGATAGGAATGTGATTCTATATGGTACTTTGGGGGGTAAAAAGTAAAAATTTCCCAGTAATTTTCAAAAGCGCCGTGAAAAACAAATGAAAAATTAAGGAAAAAACGGGAATTTTCACGCAAAAACCAGATTTTCATCAAAATCAATTTCGGTTCTTGGTGTAATTCTAAAAAAATGTCCGTAGAAACATGAAATTTTCACTTGTTGTTTATATTAGCATTTTCTATATATGGTAAAATTTTCAAAATATTTTGACTTAGTTCGAGCTGTTTACGGATATACTTAGTTCCAACTTTTTTAGGTTTTTTTTATTTGAATGTCAATAAAACTTTATTTTAATTAATTATACTTAATTACATATAAAATAACCAAGAAAAACGATTTTAGTTATTAAATATAAAATATCCACATAACAAACCGTCCCAGCTCAGAATCGTTTTTCGTATACAACGATAATATTATATCATTGAATACAAATTTAATACCATCCATTAAACAGTGGCCCACTTGTAACCTACTGTACAACAGAGTGACATCCACTGACCCACCTTTTTTTCTATATGTTTTACACAGTACAAGATCTTATATCAAAATGGAGAAGTGTACGCGATAATTATGTCCGTAGTTTAAAAAAACAAGAAGAAAGCAATAAGTCTGGCAGTGGTCGAAAAAAAATACAACGTTACATTTTTGAAGAACAGCTCTCATTTTTAAAAAAAAATAGAGAACATCGTCCCACTGCTAGTAGTATTCAATCAAATTTAAACGAAGGAGATGCTGATGCAACACAATTTTCAGATGATATGGCTATAGCAGATGAAAGTTTAACAGATGATCGTTCAAATACTGCAGAAAAAACTGTTTTAACACCTACACCCACTAAAAAAAAGAAAATTAACTTGGAAGAAAAACTAGCTTTGTTTTTGGACTCGAGACAACAAAGTAGTTATGAACTAAACCGAGATACTGATGATGAGGACCTAAACTTCTATAAGTCAACATTGCCATTAGTTAAGACATTGAATATGGAACAAAAAATGCAATTCCGAATCCAACTTATGCAGCTTCTACAAGGTATAAAGCTAACCAATAACACACCTCCATATTTCCAACCACCCGTTCCAATTTTCAACCACAATTCCGGTGTACCGATATCTACATTAAATCATAGTTATAACACTTCTATGCCCGTGTACCCGTCTACAATACCGGTGTACAGCCATGACGAATTGGCACAAACAAGTTCAGCTCGAACAATTTCACCGTTGTCTTCAAACAATTCCGTTACTGGATATTTTAGCCAGTTTTCTCCAGACGAACAAAACTTAGTATCAAATACGTCATCGAATAGTATGTAACTTTCAAATAATACACAAGCTAATGTTTAATTTTAATTTTTTTGTTAATCAAATGCTAAGGAGCACAAATAGCATACTAAAAGGTTTATTGTTTTTTTTTTTTTTAATTTTTCATTAAATATAATTTTAATAAATGCAAATATTATGACTAGTTATTTAATGTAATTATAAATGATAAAATAATATAATTATTTATTTTTTATATTTTATTATTACCTCAAAGTAACTGCCAACATCTCTTCTGCTGGTATCGCAGATCTCATAACTGTATCTTGACGCATTATTTTCGTTTTAATTTTATTGAATAGTTCGTCAAATGTGCTTTGTGACATGCGAAAATAATTAAAAAATTTCGCATTGTCAGCTCTCAGCAAGTTATAAAGGTTGTAAAATGCACCATTTAATAATCGCTCACTATTTATTGGGTGAACCCACCATTTTCGATTCACGCGTTTTTTTTTTCGTAATACTCGTATAGCGGAGTACACAAAAATTGCAGTATCCAAATCGTCCATCTTATAAGATGCGAAATCAACGACTGACGTTATATTCTACGTTCGTGTGACTAGGGTAGTGACGTCCGTTATAACTTAACGTCCGTCGCAACGTCCGTACTCTCAACGCTCGTGTGACCGAGGCCTAAATTGCACGAGTCTGTGTATTGTAGACAGTATCGTAATTGTCATTGTTGTTTAGCGTTTTGTTTTTTCGTATTTATTACTTAAGTATAATTTTGTTTAAAAAAATAGTAGTAAATATTTTATTTTGTTTAATATTTAAATATGGATTAAAACGTTATGAAGAAAAAATTTGATAATATTATATCTTCTATAATTACACAGAAACGTGATGACAACAAATCGTTTTAAGTTCATACGACTAACTTTATTACGACTGTCGTTTGGGGCAATTAAAATCATCAAAGTTAGTTTTAAATACAATTGGTATGAAGAAGACAATAAAAAATTATAGAATGGTACTTAAATTCGATATTTTAACTGTCAATGGAAAAGATAAACTCATCAAACCTGTAATAGTACCGTACTGTACTATGTGACAAACGATGAATTATTTGGTATGCTCCATTTGACTCATTTCGCAATTGGCCATGGTGGAAGAAATCAAATGAGCGCTGAGCTTAAAATGAAATATTGTAATATTACAAATGAAACAATTGTTTAATAATGGAGTAGGTAGTTAAGTTAATTTTACATAACGCTTTTAACTCTCGAGCACAAATCGATGTAATTGACATTAAAATCGTCGGCATAGCCAGTCAAGGTTCCATAGAAAGAGCAAACAGAGATGTAGGAGATATGCTTGCCACTTGGATGGCACAAAGTAATACAAAAGACTGGCCAAATAGCTTAAAATGTATTTAATTTCAAAATAATCGCGCTTTACATTCAGGTACTAATTTATATTATAATTAACTTAACCTATACATGGTAGTTTGTATACCTATATTTTTTACATAATGCTATGTATTATTATTACTATATATAGGTATTGGTAGATCACCGTATGAAGCGATGTTCGGATGTCCAGCAAGAGTAGGATTAGCCTCAATTGATATTCCAACAAATGAAATTGTAAGTTTGTGTACTGAAGAGTATATACTATATTGCATCAATTCTACCACGAACTCAAAATAGTGATGAAGATACTGAAAATTTTTCTAGACTAAGTGATGAATACTATGAAAATTATACTAAAGACGAAGCAAAACTTGGTTTGTTTTTATATAATTTTTCTCATTAAATAAAATTTAAAAAATTTAAAATATTTTAGTTAACGAGCGTCAAAACGAAATAACGAACGAACGAAAAATATCAGTTTCATGTTTGCAAAATAAGCAGAAAAGATGTTAAAGTCATCATCATCATCTCGATTTGATCCACTCGAAATAGGTTCAACCGTTAGAGTATCGATACTAGATGTAGATCGTGCTTGCGGAGCTCTTTTTTAGTACCTAGTCGTTATACATGTCGAAACAATCTTCACAAATTACTAATTAGTTGAGTACCACATATAAATTATTCAAATATTTACAAAAAATGAATGTTATACTTTTAATACAGGTACTGGACATGGATACCTAAGACATAAATACACAAGATCTGAGGTAGTACCTTGTAAAGAAAAACTTCTTGACATACCTAAATCCATCAAAGAAAAAGAGCTTACTCTTCGAGAGGCAGCTGTTCGAGCAGTATTTCGGGAACTCTTAAGGGTACCAACGATGTCACTGCAAAATTAATATAAAAAAGATGCTCTGCTGTACAGTAGGTTACAAGTGGGTTACTGTATAATGGATGGTATTACATTTGAATTCAATGATATAATATCATTGTGTAAGAAAAACGATTCTGAGCGGAGACGATATGTCAGTCTAGGTATAAGACATATTATATACTTATTTATGGTATTAAAACAAATTGACCTATAATAGGTAGGTACACAAAAAAATAACTAAAATAGTTATTTTAGTTTTTTTATTATGTAATTTCGTCCAAATTTAAACTTAAAATGACTATAAAAATAGACTGTAATTATGTATTTTTTAGATTTTTTGGTAACAGAATTAACTACATACGTGGAATCTTGTTTTAAATTTTCAATCTTTAGATATAAAAGTTGAACGTTTTATACATTTTTAACTACAAAACAATTATTCAATTTTAAATTTGATAAATTTTGTCAAAATTTGAAGTGAATATCCAATGTTGTAAAAATTTGAATTTCAAACGCCGATAAAAATTTAATATGACTTTCCTATAGACATTTTTTTTTTTGATAAAGGTAGATAATTATATAAGGAATCTTTGATCATATTTTAAAATCTCCGATTTAAAAAGAAAATTTTTTACGAATTCTTAACGCAAAATAATTTGCTAATTTTCGTGATTTTTCCATATTTTGTTAATTTTTAGACTTTAAATGCTTATAAAAAAAAACTGTGACTAAGGATTTTTAATATTTTTCATTTGTCTTTGAAACAATATACTAGAAGCCCTCTATTAAATTTTCAAGCTTTTTTAACCAACCAATAAAACTTTATTGATATTTATAGAATAAAAAACTAAAAAAATTGGAAACTGAAAATGTCCCTAAACAGCTCAAAATATTTTTAAAAAGGCATGGTGTATAGAAAATACTAATATAAACAGTCAGTAAAAATGACATGTATCTACGGTCATTTGTTTTAGAGTTACACCAAAAACCAAAATTGATTTTCTTGAAAACAGATTTTGCGTAAAAATTCCAGGTTTTTCCTTAATTTGTCTTTTGTTTTTCACGGTGCTTTTGAAAACTACTGGGAAATTTTTAATTTCTACCCCCCAAAGTACCAACTAGATTCACTTTCCTATCAGAAAAGATACTGTTGAAGAAAATCCAAGCACATTTACTGTCCTAAAAGTTGATGACAGACACAAAAAAAAATAAAAAAAAAACACACATCATTGTAAAATCTTAAATCAATACATTAATCGTTCCACTCAGAATCTGAAATAATAAATGTTCTTTAGGCAAACTTTTCAATTCAAAATGTCATGGATCATTACCATGTAAAAATAAGTAGTTAATAATATAATGATATAAATACAACAATAACCATTTTTATAATTTTTTATCGTAAAATCCCGGTAATTGACGTAAAAATCTACTCATATAAATTAAAAATGGATATTAACGATATTTACTGGTAAATTACTAAAAATATTATTTTTCGTCATTTACCGTAACATACATACGTACATTTTAATAGAATTTTATAATATTGGTAAAATCGTAATTATATTAGTATTCACCCTAAAAAACCATTCCAAGTTTACAATTTTTGTTCTTGTAAATTTTAACTTTTTTTTGTTGGCATTATTAATTTTCATTGTTAACAATATCAATTGTTTACACTTCATATCCATTTCGGTCCAATTACTGCTGTACAATGCAAATATTATTGAATCTATCTTTGATAAAAATAAAGTAAACATTTAAATGAGTATTCATTTCATTCATTTAAATCTGTAATTATAGAATTCATTGAATCAACAAATGTTTTCTACGGTACTAAATATGGTACTATTATACTTTGTAAAGTAAAAATTATAATATTATATCATATATTCTATTTATTAAATATCATATGGTTACAATCTTAATATTATGAACATCAAATTATATTTTTGGTGTTTTTAATATTCGTCATAAAAATGTAAGTATGCAATTCAAATCTCAACTCTATTAGTTGGAATATTATTATTGTTTTTAATACTATAACATACGAGTAGTACTAGGACGTAAAATGAACATGCCTGATCAACAAATATAATTAAGTGCTATAAAAGTAAAAGATTTAAAATTACTTGATCGTGTGAGTTTCCAAAGAAATAGCACAGTGCAAATAATTTAAATATGTTTAGAGGAATTACACAAAATATTTGTATTGTTAATATTCTTGAACTTTTAAATCTATCATCGTTGAAGAAACTCTGAAATTATTTTACCCAATATAATTTATCAACTCATGAATTAGTTCACAAATGCTAAGCACATAAGAACTTCTTTGAATTGAATAGAATATTAATTTTTACCATTATGAAACAAATACATAGTATCATGAACGTCATTGAAAAAATAACAATTTGTATTAACACAACTCGTCTAAATAATGTTAAAAATGTATCATATTTCCTGAAAAATAAAAATTGAAAAGCGGTGTTTAGTCATTTGGTGTCAAAAGGGTTAAAATTTAGACACTTGGGTGCACCTCCCCATAAAAATTAAATATTGGATTTCGAGGGAAAATATATCAAAATATGAATTCATCACAAGATTCGATTTTTTTTTTCAATCAATTATTTTGCCATTAGAATAATTAATATGTGTAATTTTCAGAATTTTTGTCGGTAACGGGTTAAGGGTAAATTCTAAATTTGGTAGGTCCGCTCGAGTCGAGAACAATGTTCGATGCCATTCATTACATGAAGATACCGCGTGTTCAAAAAGTTTTTTATTAGTGTACATTAGACAAACTTAGTGCACCCCTGGTTCTACTAAAATAAATCATTTTTTTAAGTTAAATATATTTGGACGCTTACTTCATAACTGCTTGATGATCCATTATAATTGTGTTTATTTCATCATATATTAAATCTTGTTTGTTAGGTAACTTTTTTTTTTCATCTCTGCAATCTACAAGTAAATAGAGCATTATTGCGTCCTTATAAAAATTGTTTAGTAAATGTCAATCAGTATGACTGTGTGAGTGAAGTAAAATATTTGTGATTACAGCTCACAATAATATTAGATTTAATTTTTACAAAGTGATCAGTACGATCTATAGACAATTTTCTGCCGAGTTCAAGTTATTTTTCATAGATAACTGAAATTTGACATCGTAAGCTAACTTAAATTGTATTAAAACTTAAGGTATTTTGAGCTAAAAACGATGGTAGTAGAGAATAGTGAGGCCCCTTATATACAGAAATTTGTTTCTTTTATGTGTAACTGA